GCAGGCTGGGCAGCTACGGGCGTATCGGAGTGTGTCCTGTCTCATCCCCGGCCAGGTCGCGACGCGACATAACTTTTGAAAAGTCTTGCTGCCGCTGCCATGACCAGCCAAAGCCGAGTCGTGGAAGTATCCGATAAACCGCCTCCGTAGCCTCCTAGGAATCACCACCCTGAACGGAGAGTCGTTCCCCTCCTCGTCGTCGATTGTTGGAATGTAGCGGAGCAATAAGCCGTCCTGACCCAGCAGGTATGAATCAATATGTTCGTTACATTGGCCGCCAGCGTTCCCGGTGTTGCTTGCCATTTCCGCAATTTTCCCCAACACCCGCTGACAAAAACCATCTGCCTTTTGGGCCTCAACAAGCTCTTCCTTGCTCACCACTTCACCCCAAGCCACGATCCTCTGTTCCCTCGTGCGGCCTCCTAACACTGCGACGAGCTCCTGTTGCATCGATCCCTTCCCGCTGTCTCGCTTATAAGCGGCCGCGCGGGAAGCTTGTCTCTCGCAATCCCCTGGTTGCGTCTCCTCCTTCCAACCACTATCACGGGGCGCCCGAGAAAGTGCGTCTGCAACCTTGTTGGTGGAGCCCTTTCGGTACTCGACAGTATAGGAGTATCGCTGCAAAGTGAGTGCCCACCGAGCTAACCTCCCCGCCGGCTCTTTCAACCTTTGAATCCAGGTGAGAGCGGCGTGGTCTGTCTGAATGACGAAGGTGGTCCCGTCTAAATACAGGTCGAATTTCTTTAGAGCAAACATGACGGCCAGCCCCTCCTTCTCCGTCACGCTGTAATTGCGTTCTGGCGGTGTAAGGGTTCGGCTGGCGAATGCCACCGGGCGCAGCTGTCCGTCATGTTCTTGCAATAACACCGCACCGACGCCGTAGTCGCTCGCGTCTGTCTGTACCACGAACGGACGGTTAAGGTCTGGCAGGCACAGGCTGGCCGTGGCTGCTATCGCCTTCGTGAGGGAAGAGAAAGCTACCTCTTGTTCTCGGCCCCAGGCCCATCTCGAGCCTTTGTGGAGCAGCAGGTTCAGTGGCCGTGTGAGTCCAGCGCACCCTGGAATGAACTGCCGATAAAAACCGACCATTCCAAGGAACCTTTGAAGGCTCTTCGCGTCGTGCGGTGGTGGGTAATCAAGAATGGCCCTCAACTTATCCTCGTTCGGCCTCAAGGTACCGTCATCTACGACGAAACCCAAGAGGTTGACCCTTGAGGCTGCGAGCTGGACCTTCTTTGGATTAATCGTTAACCCCGCTTTGCTCATTCTGCTTAAGATAATCTCAAGGTGTGCTAGGTGCTCCTCGAATGACCTTGAAAATACGACGACATCATCCATGTATGCCATGGCAAAGTTGAACTTCGCATCCCCCAGCACGATGTCCATAAGCCGTTGGAAACTCGATGGCGAGTTAGACAATCCGAACGGAAGGCGGATAAACTCAAAGAGACCCCTGTGGCAGGTGAACGCCGTCTTCTGGACATCGTGTGGTGCTACTTGGATCTGCAAAAAACCTCTGCTACAATCCAAGGTAGTGAAAACCCTCGCGCTACCCAACGAGTACATGATGGACTCAATAGATGGGAAGGGATATGAATCCCTTCGTGTCATCTCGTTAAGTCGGCGGTAGTCAATGCAGAGACGAGCGGTACCGTCTTTTTTTGGCGCTAAGACTACCGGAAAAGCCCAGGGGCCCTGTGACGGCCTCACGGCCCCTGTGTCTATCATCTCATCGAGAGCCTTATCTAGGAGAGCTCGCTTGTGCGCACTCAGCGGTCTGGGATTACAACCCCATGGTCTAGCATCTCCTGTGTCGATTCTGTGTTGTAAAATGTTTGTAAGTCCTGGCCTCTCGGTAAACATAGCTGCGTGTCGATGCAAGGCATCTGCTAACCTACGCCGTTGTTCTACCGGCCCGTTGTAAGAAGCGACGATCGCTTCAATGTTTCCCGATACGACTCGCGCAGCTAATGTTTGCTCCTCTCGTGATCCGACAAGTGAGCTTTCTGTGTCCTGACCGAAACTCGGTGGGACGGCAAAGGGGATAAGGGGAGTCAACGGATTATAGTGGTACCCGTTATTCTTCAAGTCTATGATAATCCCCTCCCGGCAGACGAAGTCCTGTCCTAAGATCACAGGGATTTGCATGCCTGGCAGATAGAGAAAACGCTACCTCCTTCGACTGCCGTCGAGGCTAAGGTGGAGGCGTATAGCGCTTTGTGCCCTAGCCGATCCTGCTGCTAAACGCAGCGTGGTGGAAACTTCCCGCACGTGAAGTGCTCGTCGGCGACAGTCTTCGTAGACTCTGTCGCCGATTAGGGAAAGAGTCGAACCGGCGTCAATTAGTGCGTAGTAAATGTTACCACCGATCTCGACGCGCACGTACGGCCCCTTCTCAGATGTCAAACCCTGAGTTCGACATGCCGACGGGGCAAAGACCGACCTGTCGCTGACCGCAACTCCAGCCCCGTTGGCAGACTGATGAGGGGCCTCGGCAGCGGCCGGCAACCGCGAGTCGGGAAGCCTGAGACCCATGGGGGGGAGCTGCCGTCCATGTGCACTGACGCTTGATATGCCCAAGCTGATTGCATTTATAGCACCTGACCTGTCTCCTGCCATTGTGTGCTGAGCGTCCGCTGCTACCATCACGCGAAGCAGTGTCGCGCCGGGGGTCATTGTAGTTCCTGCGACCCTCGTGATTCGCGACTCCGCGGTGGTCGGCTGCGCCGCCTCCCCTACGGGGATGCGCCCTGGAAGAGCCCGCGTTAGCTGCTCTGCACCTCTGTTCAAAAGCGAAGGGATCTAAGGCGCGGGGCACAGCAGTTTCGCCACTCCTATGTCCTGTAACGGCCACGTACGGCGTACGTAAGTCGTCGCAAGCTCCCGCGCCTCGTCCTGTCCAGGCGCAACCCGGCTCCAGAGATTCCTCTGCGCGTGGAGGGGGGCGATACGTCAACTCGGCGAGCAAGCTCGCCTGAACGATGCGCGCCTCTCCGGCAAGTGCTTCCAGATCAGCGAAATCACGTCCGCGCAAGTAGGGTTTAAATCTAGGGTGACACTGGCGGATCGCCCTAGCTACCTTCTCCGCGTCTGATGCTGTAGGGTCGGCTCTGGAGTAGAGCTCCTGGAGAGCGCGGACGTATTCTACGAGGCTCTCGTCCGGATGCTGAGTACGGCTGGCTAGCTCATCTCTGATCCGCATCTCATAGTCGGGAGGCAGAAATTCCTCTCTGAATCGTGTCCGGAAATCTGCCATCGAAAGGAACGGCCTCTGCATTCGCCTCCAACGCGCTGCGTCATCCGTCAACGCGATTGGGACGATCTGTATCAGGGCCGTTTCATCCGACGCGCCCAACGCGGCAATGTACGCGTCTAGGTCCTGCAAGAAATCGTGAACCGATGCTGCGTCGGAGTAGCCCGAATAGGTCGGCGTCGGCACGCTCAACCGCGGGCGAGGACGGGCGTAGGCGCGGGATTCACCACCCCTGGGGCCAAACCCATCTGTCTAGAAAACGTCGCGAACATCGCCGTCATGGTGTGCATTAGTTCGCCGACGTCTCCCGTGTGCACCGCCGGAATTGGGGGTTCTAGCGCTGCCGCAACGCTCGCTTGCCCACTCGTGCCTTCTCCCACGTCCGAGTCAATATCCGCCACTGACTGGGTTGAGGCCTCGGGATGGGCGGCCTTATTCCATAACCTGGACATGGCGGCAGAACGTTAAACACTGATGTCCAGCGGAGTAACAAAAAAATTCAAACGGGAAAACAAAACAAACCTAAACTTAGAAATCGCGATTCGTGGGACTCCCTGGGAGCGAAAAAAAACAACGGCAGACTGATCGGGCCCCACGTTGGGCGCCAGTTATGTGGGTCGCCTGTCAATTCCCGATCAGGCCAAGTTCTACTCGCTCCGAGGAAGTCACACAAGGAGCGCTATCATAGACAAACACTTTATAGATACTCAAGTTGTGCTGCGGGGGCCAAGGCTGCCTTGTGGTCCGGGTCTTCCCTGGGCTCGTTCCGCACCGCCTCTTTTGTTTGTCACGGCCCTTCAAACTCTTCTCCTCGCGCACCTACCACGAGCGTCCCTTTTTCTTCTTCCTGCTGGCGCCGTCTTCTACACGCAGTCCGCTCACCGTCCCCCACAAATTTAAAGAGGTTTTAACAAATCGTCTCTCTCGGTCGTACTCGGTTGCAAGCGTGTGAACGGGCCTTTACTCTGGACCAAAATCCTATTTTTTTTTCTCAAGTTACAGCTCTTCGTGTGTGAAATAAAAATGGTGACTATCTTGGTGGCATTGCAAGTGCAAGATGCTTGGGCTTTTGCGTCGTGGCGGAGAAACGCTATTCTAAAACTCTCATGCGTCACATATGCTAACGCAAGCGCAAAATTTAGCGCTAGCATGCGCTAAAATTGCGTACGTTATTCTAAAACTCCTTAATAGCTGCGTTCGATTATTTACTTACATCTCCTGCACCGGTGCAAAAAAGTGTAGGGCGGTGTACTTCCGGTCGTATCTAAATACATATACCGGATGTCGACTGCCCTGCACTTTTCTGCACTGGTGCAGTGTAAGTAAATTGAATGCAGCTCTTGCAGCGGGCGTATGACGTCACGACTTAGCGGGAGCAATGCCCCTCTTGTGGAATCAATCCAAGCTCGCAGTCAAGATCACCCACAGCTCAAGGCGCTACACGCAGCCAACGGAGCATCGAAAAAAGCAGAACTCATGGAAACTTCACATTAAAGAATATTCCTGACACACTCCATTTTTGAATAAATTTTGATTTGGTATCGGCCATTCTGGATAAACTCGGGGAGCACATGAGTGTGCTGAGTGTGCAAGGCACGCGAAACCACCCAAAGCTATCCGTAACCAAGCATAGGCCGCATTGGCATAACAAAACACAAGCGCAATGAACGCTGTGCTCCCCGGGTTTTTTATAGGCTTGCCGGAAATCAGAGACTTCCTAATGACGACAAAATAAGCTGTCTACATCTTATTTTTAGAAAATGCCGATTTTTATTGAACATACATGCAAAGTGAATATATTTCTAGTTCTACTGCAATTTCATCACGCTTTTATATCATCCTCGTCCACATCCCCCAATTCATCCAAGTCAAGGTCCTCCAACTCTTGAAACAGTGACTCGTCCACTTTGACATCTTCCTCACCTGGAATAGAAACAAAGCTATGTCTCAAAGAACAGGTTCGGCCAAAATTCCTAATTTGTGCACTTAAATCATTTTCCGCTTTGCTCTTCTAGTGACTTGCACACACGCAACAAAAAAAAAACAAAAAAAAACTCGGACAGTGTATAAACACACGAGGACACTAGCTTGATCATGCTGACAAAGACCAAGGAGCACTCAACGTGTAGTGCCAGGCAGATGCCATCTATGTGACATCAGGCCATGTGACTCGTGATGCCACATGATATGGCGTCATGCGATTCTTTGCACATTGTCACATGACTCTGTGCACAATGTCATGTAACGGGTCTTCATGACGGGTCTTCATGACGGTTCTTCACAACGGTTCTCTTGTAGGATTCGACTGATAAAACACATTCTGCATTCGGTCCTCATCATTGGTACGCATTCTTCTCGCAAGACAAATCCCCCGTTTCCTTCTGCCTCTCGAGTTACAAACGGAGCGACTTTCAAACTTGCACCAGGCAGCGAGAAACCGCCGACATGATGCCAGAGACATTTCTTGTTCTCGTAACTTTGACAATAATCTGCATTTCACAATCGTGTGGCGTGGACTGGTGATGCTTAGTTACTGTAAAAAGAATATGTGCCACACCTTCTTGCATAAACTGGAGGTCGGAGTCGATGAGATTTTTATCCTTCTCAAACAGCTCACGGCCCGTCAGCTTCCGGATGTTGGTGTCGACCTTCTCGCGGCTTCTCATTTCAGCAATCTCCGCATCAAACTTGTCCTTCCAGGCCAGGAAGCATTCCACCGTAACCCTGGTTCCTTCGAATTTCACCTGGGGTCAAACAAACAAGACACGCATTTGCCATACATAGAACACAAACAAGTGAAGGTTACTAGAAGCAGATAGGGTGACTGTAATCCTCTGGGCAGAAAACAGGACACTGGGGGGGGAGGGGGGGAGGGGGGGAGCAATGCAGAAAGAAGAGCTCTGCTTTTATACTAGTGGTCACGAGCAGGGTAAAAACAATGTACAAATGCATACTGCTCCAGAGTCCTTCGCTGAAAAGACAAGTGCCCTTCTTCACTGTTTATAGACACTGATTCAATGTTGCCAAACAAAGCGTGCCAAGTTCAGCAATATGAAAAATGTCTTCCTGCTCAAACGGCTACATGAAAAATAAGAAAAAAAAAAAAAGAATATAATGGCAAGTGTAACGACAGGAAGATCAAAATTGTGCTGCATGGGAGGTAACATTGTTTTAAAAAAAGTTATGTCTGCATGAGTAAACTTTGTTCCAGTTTTGTGCGACTCAGCACACTAATTTTGCAACTCCACGTCCCTGCGAAAACGGAATGCGAGGTTTTTTCTAGACACTATTGAAGGGACGGCAGAAATAAAGCTTTAAAATGGGACTGTTCCGGCCAAAGCTCTACACTCTACAAACAAAGTGAGGTTGATCTGTGTGCGCCTGAAGTAACCAACCCTTTCGGCCTCTTCGTCCTTTTCCTTCTGCTTCTGCTTTGCCTCTTCCTGCCTCAGCTTAACGTCGTCCCCGTGCTGGTCGAGCCACTCCGAAGCTGCGGAAACCAGGGTGAAGATCATGGCCATTCCCAAGTTTTCTTCTACCTGAAATGCAAGGCATCTTTACATCCGCTTTCTGTTCGAGACTTTCAAAATAACGTAAAAAGAACAACTTCTCAAATTTTCGGGAAGGACATATTATAATATTACACCACATACCCACGGACAATGCCATTAATATTGCCGTGCACGTCGCCGAGCGAACGCGTGCGTGGCTGAATGCTTGCCATGCTTGGCTATTGCGCAAAGGTTTGATTCCAGGGAGCAAAACCCTTTATTATTTATTCTTTCAACTTGACATTCTCGTAAGTTTGAGAACCTTGTCGTCTGATTGAGTTACGAATGTTCTATGCACTGAACATCCTACGCCGAATGTTCCAGAAACCCATGCTGGGGATGTTTCCCGTGTTCCACGTGGCGGATCGGAGTCAGTCTCCCTCTTGCGCTCGATCATGCTACTCACTCTGCCAACCTTCGACGCCTGGGACACTACCTCTTTGTATTTTTGTTTTTGGCACAAGTTCGCCAAACTAAACATTTAGTTTCTGTTCATTCGTTGCCTCATCATCTGCCATTCGTGACAATATGTCGCGTAATAACTCGAGTCTACGACTGACTCCCCGAAGTACTTTTATAGCAATGAAATATTTGAAAACACAGTTGTTGTTTATTAATGGCTGACAAAGTAAGTGCCTCTTCAATAAGCTGATAAAGGAACCAAGAGTTGCCATCTGTCTCCTTAAATTTCTGAATATGGCAGTTGATATTTCCTCAACAAGGGATTTTATTTTATAAGGTCCAAACTACATGTTTGCTAATTATTAAACTTAGAAAGTGGTCATTCATATTGTTAGATTAATTCAACCTAAATATCCAGGCTGTTGACAAAGCAATACTAATCTGAAATTTTTTATGTTCAGTAATAATTCTTTCGTCACAACACAATGGTATTTTTGGGCCTAGACCAGCGCTCGGCAACCAGTGGCCCGCGGGCCGGATCCGGCCCGCAAGGCAGTATCATGCGGCCCCCAGCCCCCCAGTGCTCCCCCCCCCCCCCCCCCCACACACACCAACGCAGTCAGCCCCCCCCCCCCCCCCCCCCCCCCAAAAAAGAAGTCATTTCTAATTGTCATTGAAGGAATGCCAACATGAAATAACTTTTTTAGGATGCTAAAATTACCAGAATTGTTTTGTTGCACTCTTTACTGTTTGTAAATATCCAAACATACCTCCTGCCATGGTTTTTTATTGGACTATTGTGAAAAACATGAGGAGAAACATTTTGGATATTAGCTATAACTTCCTGGAAAACTATAACAAGTAGGATAAATAATCTTACATTTGTGCTTAGCACTGAAAACTGCAGTATATGTAAATATGTAATCTAAGTGGAGTGAGAAATTACAGAAACATTTCAAAGGGGAACCAAAGTGGATTATGAAATCATCTTTATATGGCATAAATACAAACTGCACACTAAGCATCCAAGAAAACCCTAAATTACAATCATGCATGACCGTTTCACTGAACAACAACACGACCAAACATGTTTTATTGATTATAATGCAATCCAATGCAAAGGTGCAAGCGAGTTGGACAAGAACGACGAAAATAATCCCTGTAGAAAGGGAACAAGAGGGACAAAGGACAAACACAAATCTCTTTTACACTTTCACTTTTACACTTGCACTTTTAATAAAGACAAAGGCCACATAATTGTAATTTTTAGTTTTCTAGAATGCTTAGGGTTTGTATGTCGAGTGTGTGCCATAGAAAGACAATCTCAAAATCCACTCAAGTGTCCCTTTAAAGGGATGCTGAACCGAAATTCGCATATCACAAAATAAGGTAGCAGGAGTGTTCAACGGGACGCCACAACCCCTGAAACACTACTCGTAAAGAATTATCTCGAACGGATGGCCGTATTTTTGTAAAATAAGGATGCAATTGAGTGAGAATCGAGACGTCGACTTTCCTGCAGAATAATTGAGGAGGAGGGGAAACGGCCTTGCTTCCTTCTTTCTTCACGTCCTCGCGGAGTCAAAGCGAGAAGAGGAGGAAACGACAATTGCGACGTCACAGGCCTTTTTAACCTTGTTCAAGTGTGCTCTTCTTTCAGAAAAATACGACCATCCGTTGGAAATATCGTTTTATGGGTGATGCTTTCGGGCTTGTAGCATCTCGCCTAGCGCTTCTGCATTGTTTTATGAAATCAAAATTTTGCTTCAGCGTCCCTTTAAACCAGTGTACTTTCCCTAAAGGACCAGGAAACAATATTTCTTTGCTTGTTGCTATATTGCTTGGCTGTCCATTGTTTAGAACAAACACTTTGCACTCATAAGGCATGGCACAACCATCAGCTTTTGTTGGCATGCGCTGGTTGTTGAAGACTGAATTAATGAGGCTCTCATTTCTTTTTTTCCTGAACCCCCAATATTTCTCCCGACTGGACAGGCCCATTCCTTACAAAACAAACAAGAAAAGAATAACGACAGGAGGCAGTTAATCTCGTTTGTTAGGTCCATCAGGGGCTGAACATAAAAGGGCAGAAATAGCAAAATAGAAAACAACAAATGCTGCAGCAAATCACGGCTTTGGCCCCCAAAATGTCAATTTGAACGCGTTTCTAGGTTTCAGTTACTTATTGCAGCGCACCCTTGCACCCACGGCCCCTACTCCCCGGTGGCCAAGGTGCGAAACCACCACCTCGCCAAACTTGTAGAATGGAGGGAAGTATGGTGCACGCGTGTTGCGCGCTTCGGCCACTGGGGAGCAGGACCACTGGCGTAAAAATGCACCCTGATAAGAAACCGAAAATACTGCCCCTGCCTTTTATTATTGTAAAATGGTTTTTGATGATGCTTAGCAAGTTTATAATTGGAATCATATAATTATTCTCACTAATTAAAAGGTTAATTAGTAAACTTTACTTAAATATTTAGCTAATTAGTATGTTCCTTCGCAGTTCGTGACGTCTGCCGTGGCTGGCAGTTTATTCCCGGAAAGAGTCTCTTTTGTTTTCTCAAATACACCATTTCTAGGGAGTTTTGAAAGCCTTTGCTGAAACACCTTGTATACGCTTCGAATTTCGTATTTTTGTACGACGTTGGTGCCAGCACAATGTGTCCGATTAGACTGACGATCTATACCACTGCACGGTCGACCTTCGGCGTTCAGAGAACAGCTCCCATTTTTATCTGGATGAGCATCACACCAGTGACGTATCACTACTGAGTGATGAACGTTAAAGACGTGCGTCGTGGAGTAGTGATCACTGGTGGTGCAAATGCTCGATAATGATGAGAGTGATGAGGACGTCAATAAACAACTCGACAGAAAGTGAGCCATATAAACGCCGACTGACTTGCCGCGGAATGACCAGTACATCGACGTCATTCTCCCTTTATTAGTAGTTGCACTCTGCTGCCTAAACGTTTCACTCACAGCAGAGGCGCAAGACACCCATTGGGAGTGACTAACCTCTCGCTGCCTAAACATACACCAAATTGCTATGCACCTCCAAGAAGGACACCCTAAACACGGCGATAAAAACAAAGTGACAGTTCACCTGTTCCTTGAGCACAGCCATCAGCTCTTCCGTGTCTTCGTCTTCGAGGTTTTCGCATTCATCCACCTCAATTACGGGCCCCACTTCGGGATAGTGAGGAACATATGTGAACTTCAGGGTTACTGACACTGGAAGGAACGTATGCTTGATGTAGGCTTTACAAACAACATAATTTTAATGCACACACTTATTGATGAATATATAAAACTCCTTGAAGAAACTAGGATTTTGCATTGGATGTCATTTTGCTTGATTATCTCTGTCTTGATCAAAAGCCTATGTTAAAAACAAGCTCCCGAAGTATTCACTTGGCACCATCAAGCTAGAGCTAAGCAGGTACTAAATAATATGTGAAGACAATGAATATAACCAAAAGCCGAGACTACGGCAGAAGAACCATTAATTCAAAAGATACCCACGCACATACCAGTAGCAATTGGCTTTTACTAGTTTGTTGTGTCGCCACGATGAGGCGGCTATTATTATTATTGTATTCTTTTTTTTTTTTGGTCAGACGGAGCCCGAGTTTGCGGCACTTCTTCTAACGAGTGAAACTAATCACAGAGAGAATTGAGGGCCTCAGGTGCCGGATGGCCTAGCTACGCCGCTACGCCACTGGTTCCAGTAACATGCTCGTAGCAAAAGTTCAACGCCGGTGGGCTAACTTACTCGCTTCATCCTCAGGTCTGTCAGTGGTGTTCCCTTTGATGTGAATCGTGAAAGAGTGGTAGGGGTTTGTCGCAAGGACTAGAGGGAAAGAAAGATAAACGAAAGCATAAAACGTAAAGTTCGCAAAGTTAAGGAAGTTTGTCACCGCAGACGAGCCACGTTTGGGAGTCATTCGCGATGCAGCAAACAAGAAATGCAGAACGAACTTTGCGTCTTACTTTGTAATTCGCTGGGGTAGATGGACTCGAGGGCTTCAATTTCATTCTTCTGCTCATCTTGGAAGTCTGTCATGGTTGCAGAGTTTTTTTTATGCCGACGTCCGATTATTGGAAAGACTGGAAAAATTGTCATATGGAAGGCGCCATGTTGGCGATTGACGGGCTGGCTAGACAGGTGCATAGAATGCATAGAATGAATGTATGTGCGTAGATAAAAGAGTACAAGTAAATCGTACGATTTGGACGGTTTGGCGTGCCTCCTATTAGACTTTCGGTCAGCTATTTGATTGTTATCTAAAAATAATTGAGGATGAGACAGATATTATTGTTGCTTTTTACGAATTAAAAAATGTAACCTTTAAAGGTGAGACAAATATTTTAGTTGACTAAAGTTTCGCGTTGAGAGAAACTCTCGTTTGGCTGTGGCTATGGCTGCTATGGCTTTGGCTTCGGTTGCTTGGCTCTTCCGCCCCCAGCAAGCACTTTGCTATTTGCAACTCCCTTCTTTTAATGATGACTCGGTCCGTCAGCGCTTTCAGTGTTTTGAAGAGTCTGCCTGTTCTCTGAAGTTTAAATCACGCGGTAGGAAGCTCTGAATAATCACGTGCAATAAATCTTTGTAGGAAAAGAAACATTCGAAGTCTTTGCTGCCGATTCGTAAGAGGATGTCTCGTCAAGCAGTTCGAAGCACGGATCCCAAGAGAGTGGTACGCCCTTTGATGCTTTCCTTCATTATAACAACGCTTAATCGCAGTTTGGTGGTGCGTAACTGTTAAAGCGATGTCTACAAAATCCGACACAAAAGGGGGAAAAAAAAAGAATGCCGTTGAACGCTTAACTCGAACGTAGTTCGGCCGAAATTAGAGGAGGATGGTAGGGTCCGTAGAGGAAGTGTCGGCAGTGCTGTGTCGGTTTGGGCAAGGAGAAACATTACACTTCGTCTAATCGTTTTATCCCAGAGCTCGGAGCTTTTCACCTTGACGTACGGATCACTGGTGGCCCAAATGCTCAAGGACTACGAGAGCGACGAGGAAGTCAATAAGCAACTCGACAGAATGTGAGTTTTGTCGACGCTGGTTCGCGTGCCGTAAAATGATCAGTGCGCCAGCGTCATCCTCAAATGATTTGCAGGGGTTACAACATTGGACTGAGGCTGATTGAGGATTTCTTGGCAAGGACGAATGTTGGAAGGTGCCACGATTTCAAGGATACATCCGATAAGCTTCAGGTATGCTCACGGTCTCCTTACTGTCAAGTGCATCACTGCCCCTCCCATCAAGAAACATTAATATTCGGGGCTTTTTTTCGGCGTTTTTGTGTTCTACGCAAAGAGAAAAAAAAGGTTATTTGTGTACTACAACTTTTTTGACTATAACTAAGGTTACCCGGGAGAAGAGTGTACTATTTTCGAAGTGATGCACATGAGGTCATTAAAGCAGTCACGTAACCTATCTAAATGGTTCTTGTTAGAAAATGCAAGTTTCATGGTGTGAAATGTTCCAAAATGCAAGTTTAATGTTGTGACACTTATTTCAGAAGTGCATTTGGTGATAAACGAAGCTCTTCAGGTGTGTGGTAAACACTATCATCAAATACCTTTCATGTGGACACAGCTGAATAGCAGTAAAGATCTTCACGTCTATGTTTAATATTTCCTAAACGTTGGCAGATTGCAATTCTGCCGTCACAAATGAATGCATGAAATCTGGGATGCCATACTGCATTTTATGTCTCATTTGTAAATGCCTGATCTGCTTCAATACAGTGAAAACAGCTTTGTTCAGAAAGGGGTTCAAGATACAATACAAGTGACTTTTTTTTTTTATTACCTTTACACGAGCACTGCCTCCATGTTCATGAAAGCAGTCTGAGGTAGGCATAGCCACTCTACACTACTTCTTTCTATTCCATTAAATTGGCTACCTCACACAGAACGGCATATTGAGATCACATTGCCAATTGCATGAAGATCATGCACAATGGTTCTCATGAGTCCCAAATATTTACTAGCACAATTATTTTTAATTGTTTGCTCTAAGAATGCATTGCTATGTTCACTTGCAATTCTAGAAACTTACTGAGATCATTTGGTCCAGAGAGTTATAATTGATCATTGTACCGCGTGGGTCAGATGGATCGATGGCGGCTTGAAGTCGACCGCATTAATCGGTTTGTTAACTTATCACGCTGGGATTTACTACAGAAGTGCTCGAAGCTGGATTCATTAATTGAGAGTATGAATACATGAAACCTCCGGAGTCAAAAGAAAGAAAATAAAAACTGTTTTGTATGTGGAAAAGTAATTGTTGAGCCTTTTATCTCAAAATCACCAGAAAATGGTTGTGGGCTTTGAGGCGTTTACTACGATTAAAAAATTTGTGAAATGAAAAGAAAATTGAATTGGCTTACCTATTCTTCATTTGGCCCAAAGCACCACAGTAACATATAATATTTTTTAGTGTACATGCAAAGTATATGGAAAACATAGTTTTTAATTTTTCTTGATTTACTCAGATGAGCCAATCTTTCCACAATTTTAGTAAAAGCTTCCACCAACTTTAGGCACCCCTAGTGAATCCTAGTGCGATATATTAAGAACCCGATTTATGCCATCCCTTCAAACGGCCATCGATCCCTTTGACCCATGTGGTAATTGCTAAGCCTACTTAACTAATATATTGGGTTTTCAGCTACCAGTTATCTACAACCCAGTTACTGCAAAAGCCGCTGCATCCAAATGCGAATTAAGGGGCACCAGATGAGCCAACTTTCTCTGCTGGGATGATGCTACGACTACCCCAAATTTGTTGCGTTCAAGTTCAGAAAACTTTGCGTTATAGATTGCTCAAGATTATTATCACATTAGTACTATCATTGAGTCCCTTAAAGGGGTACGGAAACAAAAATTGAAATATTCAAATTTCGTTCGGAAATGAGTCAAGCATGACGGATAATAACCGTAAATCATAATCACACGTTTGTATTTTGAACGACTGGCTATATTTTTCGTTTCAAACGGTGCACTCGAGCGAGCGCCCGAAGAGAAGCGGACGGAGGGCGCGATGCATCATGGGATATCCGGCGCAAACAAAGACAGAAAGAAGATTCCCCGCATTCGTGACGTAGCAAGGCTAGCGTGGTTATGAGCTTTGCCCTTGGTGGCGTTGTCAGCGTTGTGGTAGTGTCAATAGTGCCAACGCGTTACAACCGAGCCTTTCGAAGTTCCCGTGGGGTGACGAGCGTGTGGCTGGCCCAAGGAGCACGTAGCTTCCACAACACTGTCAGCTTAGGGCTGAACAGGGTGGGGAAAGCAACTTTTGTTCGAGTTTTGAGCGACGGGCTAATCTTCTAGGGGGAGAGTGGCTGTGTCCGGTTGCACAAACGAGGGTCCGAGAAAGAGGGGAGTCCTTCCTTTTCGTGTTCTTGGATCGTTTGGTACAATGCGCGATTTGTGAGTTGAGGAGGAAAGCTAAGAAGGAAAATGTTAAAATGCCAAAGAGCGGCGCTGCTCCGAGGAATCTGCTACGTCACGACTACATAGCAAGTTCCCCAACATTGCTAGATTACCTCCCAAATAGGCTCCGCATGCATCCACCAGGTGCACATTGAAAGATTGTTTATTTAGCTTTAAAATTAGTTTTCTTGTGCCTTTCAACGGAAGACTAGTGTTTTTGAGGTTAGGGTGTGGCACCCTAACCTCAATAACACCTGTTGCACCAAATGCAACACATTCAAGCTAGAAAATGAGCGCTGGAATTTCGTTTCCCTACCCCTTTAACTCTTTTATTACAGTGACTCAGCAGCCATACCTACCTCTTTTTCTTTATATTTTTGCTATTTTTCAATCTAATATTTTAGTTGCACTGGGGTGTGCACCTACTGCACCCAAAGCTATGTAGGATCCATCTAGGAGGAGTCTAAGCATTTTGACTCCCGATGGGGAACAAACATCTTTTGTCTGTCTTGATAATGGTCAGTTCCATAGACAGATGAACTTAAAGGGGCACTGACACCCCAAAGGTTGTATTATTTTTTATTGTCTAAAACGATGCAAGTTATAGCCATAGACACGCAAAAAAAAAACGAACCGCGAAAAATTTTTTTGTGCGCGCGTGCGCCTTTTTATTTTTGGTGTTTATATTTCCCGCGCTCACCTCCTTGCTTCTTTTGATTTGTGTCGTCAAAAATCAGGCAATTTAGAAGCTTTGTAGGCGACATTTCTATAACATTTAATAACGGCAATCGTAAAACATGTTTTTTAACGCAATTGCAAACGCACTATGGCCCCTCTTTTTGAAATACCAAAAATCAGATTTCGGTGTGATGTTGCTTCCTGGGTTTGTATCCTCCCTCGGAAAACTTGGCGGCGCTCGAGCAGAGGCTTATCGGCGAGTCGGGGAAGAAACCGGTTTTCTCCCGTGCCAGCGCGCTTCTATCCCGCCTGGTCACCTCCTCCTCGCTTCGGGTCGCGGTGGCAACAGAGGTCCCAAAGAAAGTCGAGTCGCAGAAGACCGCAAAATTTGACTCGCTGCGCTGGTGCGGATCACGCGGGAACTTCAAATTTGGCATTTGGAAATCGTTTTTTTAAATCAGAAATACTGAATTCCCAAGTTTCGAATTTTGAGGGTAATGTCCCGGTATCGTTTTCAATCGTTATGGATAATAAAAAAAAATATGATTTTAATGTTTCAGTACTTTTTAATTTTTCAGATGGCCTTCAAGATGTACCTTGGTATTAATCCACCCATAACCAACTGGAGCCCGGCAGGAGATGAATTTTCGTTCATCTTGGAGAGTAACCCGCTGACTGAGTTCGTAGAGCTACCGGACAGCCACGGCAGCCTCAAGTACTGCAACATCATCCCTGGGGTCATACGTGGGGCTCTTGAAATGGTGAGCACTTGAACTTGGTTGAACATGAGAAAATACTTGCTTACAAACAAACAAATAGTTGCCTAGATGACCCCGCACATCTAGGTAACCATGTCCCTCAAGACAAACTGTTGTAACCTTATGTATGCTACAGCTGTCAAGACATTGCATTCCCTGACAAGCTGCCAATCCTCAACAGTACTGTGTGGGCGTAATGCTATACTTCTTTACATTTCGTATGTGTAGACAGGAGCTCCTTGTATGAATTTTTTGTCTGTCACGTGCTGTTTATGAACCTTCTCTTTTCATTCATTTGCGCTTACAGGCACTGGTAGTGTTCTGCAAATCAGGTACGCAGGTTAGGATGTCACTGGTGTTAAATTACAGCCGAATCTCGTTAATTCATACACGAGGGCGATCGAACATTTGTTTGTATAAAGCAAAGTTTGAATTACCGGGAGTTTCCTCCCATAGACACACATAGGATGGGACCTGCAGGTTAGTTTGAATTAAGAAAGTTTGAATTAACGAGATTCGACTGTATGTGAGAGGGCAAAGGTGAAAGGGCATACCTCTTGCAGTTTGCAGTTTGAGAGAAAGCATTTGTAAAATTTCTTGTAGTTTGCAGAAAAAGTTTCCTTGTTTTATTGCATCTTTTTACAAATGGTCAACTCCAACTCTTGCCCAGAGTGCATAGGTGTGTGACTTGAAGGAGTCAGTGCTCCGAGAGTTCTTTTCATTACTGCTTACCCTTATGCCACAGATAAAAGTTTAAGAACGAGGTTTTATTTTGCATTTTGACATTTGTTTATTTTGTGAGATAGCGTGTTATTGTGATATAATCATTACTTTCTGGTGACAGATTTAGCTGTGCCAGTAAAAAAAATTGGAACCCCTCTGCTCCATCTTCAGGGAACCTGACGATGATCATTAATTGGAAATTATCTCCATTTTGTCCATAGCTTTCATGATGTCACTGAACAGTAACTGGCAAAAAGTTATTTGAGCCTCGTGAATAATTCTTTTATAAAAGTTTGTTCATATAAGCAAACTTTGACACCTAGCTGTTCCAAGCTTTATAAGCAGCGACACTATGTTTATAGCTAGTGCTCAAGATTAAGACTAGCCTGTGTCTGAAGATTAGTGCTTAGCTTATTTAAATACAAAACAAATTGGGGTATTAGATGCCATCTTTTGCATCCTTTTAAATTTAGTGAGTTTTGTTTCCAGCATCTTAGCTGCTGGAATGGTACCTTTTTTTTATTCTTCTATTAATAGTTTTCTCTCATATTGACACGAGACATTTTAACTGTCATGATCAGTATTTACTGTAGTGTTGCTATGACCAGGCTTTCCAACTTTTGGCAATCCTTTGAGAACTTTTTCAGTCAGATTTTGAAGACATGTTCAGGATCCTTCTTGGGCTGTCTTTTCGTGCAAAAGCAACATTCGAGGAAGATTGAAATATTGCTTTATTATTATTTTTGAAGACCCTTGATTTTTTACCTTCCTTCGTCAAGTCACTCATCCAAAGGTGACTGGAAAGGGATCCACAGCAAGCTTGCTTCCAAGACTGATTCATGGCCGCATTAACATCTCTTGCTTTAGTAATAATTGCTTGGCACATTAAAATAAAGTGCAGTAATTTTATTGTTTCATTTTTAAAATTTTTTTTATTATACCCCAGGTTCAGACAGAAGTGGTGGCCTGGTTTGTTCAGGACCAGCTCAAAGGAGACTCCACCTCCGAATTGCGGATCAAGTTTGTACGACGTCTGGAGGATGCCATTCCGGCTGGAGAGGACTGACCGGGTCAAGTTCTGTGTACATACGCCCCTTGTCAAGGAGATCCCCGTGCACATGTACTCGTCATCACTTTCAGTAAAGCCCTTTCACATTCCTTAATTGTTGCAGGCAAGTGTCTCCCACATTTTCATCTTTGAGAGGGCAATGGTCAGCAACCAAATGCCTGTTGATGACCGTGTGATGTTTGGTTGTTGATAACAAGGTTCCAGTTTTCCTCTAAAGGGACACTAACCCAATGTTTGTTTGCTTTTGCATTCTTTGGTGAGCTCAATACCGAGGAAGGACATTCTTACTACGCAGGAAGAAAAATTTTCTTATCACGTGAAGCCGACCTCTTTATATCAGCCTCCACTTATTGCGGAGAAGGCGCCGTGTAGCCGAGCTTTCGGTTGCACGTCAAAAGATCCCCAGGTGGTCGAAATTAATCCTCAGTCCTCTGCTGGGGCGTGCCAGATGCCCGTCGTTGGTTTGGCATGTAAAACCCCCAAATTTGACTTATATCAGCCTCCATTGATTTCCTCCTTTTTTTTCCCTTTCATGTGGAATGATCTACTAATTGGCTGACCAAATATTTAAGGAGTTTTGAGCTTCAAAAGTTGCTTTGCTCGTTAGATAGTACATATAATAATTGCATCTATGAACGACATGTTTTGTGCTTATCAGTAAGGAACATCTGATTATTATAGAAAATTGTAAAGCATCCCCAATAAAGGGATGCAAGCATGCTCAACTGTTTCCATCTGATTCATACTTTCATGGACACCTTGTTGTGGTAAAAAAGCAAGCAGAGCTTGACTTTAATAAAATTGCATGTAGTTTTTACTTAAAATATTCCCAAAAGCCTGTTGTCCTTTTGTTTGAAAGTGGGGTCGAGCCACATCTTGTCCTTAAACAAGTTACCTATCTGTGGCCCGTCGCCTGTCTTGAACATGCACTCATTGCTCTTTGTAGTTTGCATGCCGCAATAGCACACCGTTTCAACATTTTATGACTTGAATTCAGTTCTCGAGTCACAACATAAGCAGAGCATCTACAGTGCTTTAGTTTCAGGTTGCTGAATCTGAGATGAATAAGAAATCGATGTACAAGCATGTTTCTCGGTTCCTCATAAACATATTTTTCGGCAGATTTTCGGAAGTCCACAACTATCAAAGAAGGATTACAAATCTCTGGCATTATACAACTTTTGTTCTTGTAGAGTGATACCATGAAGTCAAACATCAGGTGCATTTGAGGTCTCGACAGTACCTGAACATTGCAGACAGTATCTATGTTGATTACGATCATCATCTTGCTCAAGCAAAACAAAGCCACTTGTCCATCACTTTACTGGTTAACGATGTTTGCAGTACCGTAGTAGCATCACTGTGGAAAACATCGCTTGTGAAAAGGCTGCGAGAGTCTCTAATATTCCACTGCGTGGACCAACATTTTTAATATATAATTCTTTTATTACCAAATGTGCTACTCAAGTTTCAAATCTTGTGAATTATATAAAAACTTGTTTCTTTCTCTGTCGTATTGGCACCTTGTACCAAATTGAGCATTTTGGGGTGGCAGCTTAGTTGGGGGGCATAAAAAGTGAATGTTTGAACCACCTGTCTGATTTAAATGATATTTACAAGGCTTGTTTCTTTTGATGTTGAGAACATTTATGCCGAATTTTGTTAAACTGGGGGAAGTACAAAAAAATTGTAAATGTTCAAAGATGAAAGTGGGTGTTTCTGCATAGGAAAACTATACATAGTTTACAAATTACTTATAAATTTGTTGTTTTCATGTGTTATATTGCTTTAGGACAGTTCAGAGCAGATAGCTATGGAGCGCTGGAAAGCGCGTAACTCCCACTGCACTGTCAGCTTAAGGGTGAATAGACGATAGTATAGTATGGTTACCAATATACTCAAATTTATAAGATAAAAAGGGGGCACTGATAAACATGAGGTTTTCTTCAAATCGCTCCATGAAAACAGACCTAGCTAGGTTTTGTCGGATGGTGGCACAAGCATATTTTGTTTAGATGGAGCAACTCGACTAGCATGTGCCTGCAAGTTTCATGCGGCTTCCTCTTAGTGCAGCTGTGTGGAGGAAGAAGTGCTCTTCTCAGGGGCAGCTGTTTTTGGTTTGGTTTTGCTCCCATAGGCCGGTTTGCTGATCAAAGGGGTATCTCCCCAGCAGTTAAAGGGGAGATGGGGCAGTTCTGCATTTGAGAAAAAAACACTTGAATTGCATTCATTTGGCATTTAGAATAACATATATCACAATTATGTTTCAATGCGATGCCCCAGAGAGCCATAAGAACAATTTCAAGATGGGGCTAAAGCCTCGCCTCCCTAGCCTTGGGCAGCCAAAAGATATGTCGATGATGTCACGTACAGCGACTGTTTCGCGCGTTTAACAATACTTGCGCAGCGAATGGTTTGGGTATTTGGGTTCACGGTGTAAAAATATACTAAAATTCACTTCTAATTTTTTTTCAAGAACCTCCGTAGCTTCCCTTTAACTTGCCCTCAAGAGGGATTTCGAGGTCATGTGACCCGGCTCCGTGGGGACAAGAAACTAAAGTTACCTAGCGTTTCAGTTAAATGGCTGCCGTAAGTCCGTCCTCGCTTCGAATATTAAAGTATGACTTTCCGTGCAGACAAAGGGTGAAGGGTCTTGAAATGTATAACTGAAATTAACCGCATTTCCACATTTTAGGAGTGGCGTGTAAAGTTATTTCTAGGGAAGGTCGTGTTCACTAAGAATTCAAGGCAACAACAGGCAAGGCTTACGTCTGCCGAGCGGAATCTGCAAAAATGCCAGGTACTTTCTCCCCACGGAGCCAGTCGTATGACCCCGAAAATCCAGGGAGAGATACCGGCATTGATCAGTAAACCAGCGCTGGTGTTTTTCGCTCGGTGACAGGCTGCTTCGCTAGTCTCCTACAGGAAAGTTACACATACAGTCGAGCCCGGTTATATCACACACGTGTATTTCGAATTATTGTTCATATCGAACAGTCCATACATCCCCTTGAAAATCACATGTAAAAGTATAGGAGCGTTGTTTTTCTGTATTGAATTCCCATTGCCTCTTATGGTGGGGTCACTCGATATAGCGAACAAAGCACGGCTGCTGGTCGGTTCTCCCTCGGTCGGGTTGAGGCGGTGAGCACATAGCTTGCGTTACGAGGCTGGCCATAGCCTCCTCTATACGGAGAAAGCCTGGAGAAAAGACGGCCGCCGTAATTGGGAAAGGAGGGGCGGAGAAACGGGAGCGGAGAGAACCTTGCCTGCTAGCGTCACAAAAGAGCGAGCGGCCAAACGCAGAAACATTCTTTTTTTTTTTTTCTCTCTCTTTTCTTGTCGCTATCGTGGAGAGGAGAAACTCAACGTCCACCCTTTCCCGTTTCTCCCTGCGCCCTTTCGAATCGCCGCGTCCGTTTCTCCCCGAGTACGAAAACGACGGTGACGAAAACACAAAAACAAGCGTGGTTCGGGGAGCGGCCGCTCATGACCCAAGCGCTCGCTGTCTAGGTCTGCCCTTTCTGCTCTGCGCTACCATATTGGTCACCGTTCGGCGCGCTCCTCCTCTCCTTTTTCCTGCGGCCGCGCGCCCTATGGCTCCGTCGTCGATGTGCCAGGCTTATGGGCTGGCAGACCGCCAAGCCAGCATAGGCGCGGACATACGCAGCAAAAGAGCAGTTGTAAAAAAAAAAAAAAAAAGCAACCGTAAAAAAAAAAAAGGAGGATGGCAAAAGTAAGGGGAAGGGCACGCGCGCGCGCGCGCGTAGGGAGGGCAGGGAGTGCCCAAACTCTTTCCCCGAACACCACTGTTGCTGCGCGACTCCTTAGCCCCAAAATAAATTAAGCAAAACAAAAAAAAAAGAAAAAAAAAGAAGTCTTCGTCAAGTCGAGTGTGGAGAAAGCCTGGCACGTCGCGAAAAGAGACGGCTGCTGAAAGTGGGAAAGAAGGGGCGGGGAATCAGGAGAGGAGCGGAGATCGCCTACTAGCGCCACACAAGAGCGAGCGTCCAAACGCAGAAACACTCTTTTCCTTTTTCTTTTCGGTATCGTGGAGAGGAGAAACTCAACGTCAACCTATTCCCTTTCCCGTCCCTCCCTGCGTCCGCTTCTCCGCAACGGTCCTTGAACGGTCGTAGTCGTCGGTTTCGTTTCCGCTGGGGGTTGTGCGACGCTGCCCGGAAAGGTCGGTATCTGGTGCTTGCAGTGTTCGGCGATTCATGGGCCATATACTTCGTTTCACCTTAGGTTTGAACGAAATCAAAGATATACTTCGTTTCATCTTACGTGCGAGCGAAGGCAATGCTAGGCGTGCGAGCCGAGCACTCATACGTTCCCTGCTTTGCACGCGTGCTCATTCAGTTAATGCATTTTCTCGGGCTATCCTCTCACGTTTATAAACGCTTTCAGGCAGCTGTGCATGGGCGCCGCCATAACCGACCTTCAATTTTTGTTTCCTCTTATTCCGTTCGTTTCACTTCACCATTGCCACAGCAGGACAGGTTATTGCCGCTTTAAGTGCTACTGTGTCCTCCCCAGCATAGGCCTCTGTGGAGGCTCGTCAACGGCCGCTTCAGTGGCTCGGCATCTCGGTAAGACAAGAGAAGGTCGGCAATGGCGGCTCAACCTGGTGCGCGTGTAAAGCGTCTATAACTTCGCCCTCGCTCTTACATGAGATGAAACGAAGTATAAAAGCGCGAGATCGATGCTTTGTGCATCGCTGCTTTGCTCTAGTGCGTGTGCGAGGCAGAAACGCAAAAAGCGCTGGCTGGGAATCGCCACAGCCGTTGCTCCCGGAGTACGAAAACGACGGCGATGAAAACACGAAAACAAACTTGGTTCGGGGAGCGGCCGCTGCGCGACCCAAGCGCTCGCACACTATCTCTGCCCTTTCTGCTCTGCGCTACCATATTTTTCACCGTTCCGCGTGCTGCTCCTCTCGTTTTTCCTGCGGCCGCGTGCCCTATGGCTCCGTCGTCGATGTGCTAGGCTTTCTCAGTGTAGAGGAGGCTATGGTTGAGCAATCATACTTTGAACGCCTTATCTTTGTTTACCTTTTTCTTTTGACGTTTTTGCTTTGCCCGTTTTTTTTATTTTTTTGCCTTTCTTTTTTTGTTGCCTGAATTTGGTGAGGTTTTTTTTTCTTGCTTGCTTCTATGGATCGAGTTCTTTATTATGCGGCTCGCTTTTTCCGTTCTTTAATTTTTTTTTTTTAATTTCGTGTTTTGTTGCCGGCGCTTGATCGCAAACACCGTCGCGTAAACGCCGCGGTGCTTGTGATCTTTACCAACTACTAAGCTCTAAAGCATTTAGCGGCCCTTAGAGGCTCTATTTGGTAAGGTCCGGTTTGTCGCGGCCTTCAGTATTAGCAGCGACGCGCGGAAATTTCAACTGGAGCTTAAGTTAACATATTTTTGTATATCAAATTATCGATATATCGAATTATTTTACGATCCCCTTTGACTTCGATATATCCGAGTTCGACTGTAACTTCCACCGTGGTGCATTTTAAGTGACACTCTGGGGTGCTTACAAACAGACTTGTTGCAATAATCCTCATGTTGAATTGAGTATGGGAATGCTGGGGTATTTACCAGAATCTGTTTGCATTCGTGGCTGTCCAGACGGCTTGTCCGTCGCAGGCGTGTGGAGGAGTGGATTAAACAAAAGCAAAGGTTTTGTGCTACTTTATTAGGAGTTGAAAGCCCCTTTGAGGGCTTTCTGAAGAAAGAAGAGGAGGAGAACAAGTAGAAGAGAGACATCCTCCAAAGGGTCACTCAGGCGCATTTCAAAATGCGATATTTTGGCATATGTATTCCAGCACACACAGCGCGAGATGTTTCGATGGTTTCTCTTGCTACCATTTTGCTCCGCATAATATAGAAGATGAGTGGCACAACCCCTATTGTTTCGATTGTTTCACACAAGTGGGAAATCGATAGACCTTGCCTCTGATATCGTTGACTTTTGCCAAATGATTATAAGCTTTCTCATGCAAAAAGCAAAGGAAAAAAAAAGGTCTGGTAATGCTCCTAGTGCCTCTTTAACACACCAACAACTTCCAGGAGCTGATTCAAGGACTGACACAGAGTTCTCTTCTGGTTTCCTTGGTTTCAGTAGCGATTTGAGTTGTGCTCAAAACAGGAAATCCATCACTTGAACGCTGCCTCGTCTTGCAAAGCTTGGAACAATGAAAAACATGGTGTCGGTCAAACGATGGTGACTAGCCTAAATTGGAAGCGAGTTTTTCCCGAACCTATTTACATTCCCATGAATGTGGTCACTTTTAGATTTGAGCTCACACCAAATTCAACCGGCAACAGTGTTGGAGTAGTTGGTCTTGGGGTGCATTCACACTGACCTTTGAATAGCAACCATGAAGCGAATCTGCTCGTTTTCGTCATCAGATTGCATGCAAATGTGGTTCAACCACCGGTGTGGCTGTAGCTGTGGGGTGGCCAGAAGCTTGCAGTTTTTATCGGTTTCTCGAACAACCTCCAACCAGTTGTTTTTCTTTCAAAGGTGTGTAAATTCTGAGCTTCACAAAATCTATGGGATATTTTCGGATGGAATCGCATCCACACTGGATTTGAAAGGCAAAATTGACACCAGTGGTTCCGGACATTGTTTATGCAGCACCTTAAACTTTGTTGCTCTAACAGCTTTTAAACCTTGTGGGTGCTGCAACCCATGTGGCTTAGTGACCCATCAGTCTGACTGCGCTATTTACTTCGGAGCGATTGCTAACTAACTAGCTCAGTTGCAAAAAAATAGTGGGAATATAGTGTGCATGTATATTTGTATGAGCAGTCCATGCCTAGATATAGTCTGGCATGCCCACAATTTGCTACTATATTCTGTTAATTTCAGACATGCAGGCTTTCGAGAGTATGAGGGGGGCTTTGACACCCACAACAATACAGTCACCTGGGTCAAGAACCCTTCAGCCAGGAATTCCAAGCAATGTAGATATGTCAGATCAGTTTCAAATTATTAATGCTTTTGTTTTGTACTATTTTGAACAAGGACATTTCTCATTTCACTGGGTCTTGATAGCTTTTGCCTTGTTTCAGTGTCGTCAAAGTCTATGAGCAAACTCCTGGTTTTGAAAGCTGCTTTCTTTTCCACGATGTGGCATGTAGCGTGCAATCTAAAGTCATTAGCCTCGCACGAGTATAGTTGGGATCAACGTTCCTGGGTAATATGCGATTTCATTTGAGTAAAATGCATCCTGGATGGAGATGCAAAGAATTGGGCTAAATTGGATATCTTTGAGTTGAAGAATACGAAAACATTAGAGGCACAGGCAAGCTGGTGAACGTTCAAAATTATGAAAATCTTAACTTGTAGTTTTTCTTGTTTTCGTTTTTATGACACATAGTCTGACGTACCTATTTAAGTAAATATTTTTCAGTCTAGATGCCAGAATAGGTCACACCCTGTAAATGTACACAGCAAAGGATTGTGTTCAACATCATCAAATACAGTGCCATAAATCTTTATGCCCCATGCATTCAAACTGATGCCAAATGGAGCACTTCAGTAATGTCTTTGAAATGTTAGGATTTTGCTTTATGTGCATGACAAAGCTTTCACGAGTTTTCATTATCCTTGTGAAAGCCAACCTGTTTACAGTACTAAACAAAGCTACAACGCATCCAGAAAGCCAGCGTCTATGGAAAAGTGGTGGCTTTATCGTTACATTTGTTGAAATAATGGATCCTCAGCTTCTCCATAGACTCACGAGGTTTCGTACGTGATGTACAGAAATGGGAAAGAAAATCTTTTAATTTTTCTTTTAAGGGCATAAAACTTGGGTTTATCCTCGAATGTGGCAAAAATACTTACCCATAAACATCAAACACTAAGCATAGTCAAGTATCGGCATTGACATCTCCCCACAATTGTGAGCATAATGGTACTAGTTCTGAGCTCCATTTTGGAAGGCTTAAAATGCTGCCAATGAGTGGGATGTATTGGTTACTTTACAACAATAGTAGTCTTGGATATAAGGAGAGTTACACCTTATACTCGGTGACACTCTTGATGCACACAACACTTTCCAATGATACACAGTTCAAGTTCTGACTGATGCTGTTTTTCCCATTTCGCTGCCACTTCAATCGCCCTCGGTACTTTCTTAAACTTTAGAAATTGCCACCTCAATAAGCCGAGCACCTGCCCACTGGCTATTGTAGATGCTCGTTAATAAAAAATCGAACTAACCTTTGTATAAATTAGTTTTGAAATTTATACAACCAAACCAGATGTACCAACTTGGCCTTAATAAACGAAGAGATAAAAGACAATGGGTACTCCTAAGAATGGGCCTATGCCTTTCACCGCGAAGGCACATGCTGCGACCACAGCACCACACTTGAGGAAACCACAAGGATTCAATGGCTGCCATATTATTGAGGGAGAACTCGCACACTCCCTCGACAGTAAAGCAGACGGTTCTCCCAGCATGCTACATGCTGCCTGTGCCATGTTTACCAGAGGCGTAAAATATTTCACATTTGCGGCTACATGTCTGAACATCAGCGGGAGCCGGCGAGTGCGCAGGCGCTAGAACTGCCGCGGGCCTAGAAGTTGTACTCATGAAACATGAAGATGCACATTGCAAGCACACACAGACACACAAATGAGAAAGCAACAATGGAGCATTTGCACCATTCAGAAACAACCGTTTCAATCCTCCCTCTCTCCACCGTCCCTGAGGAAAAAATAGACACCAAGTGCGAAATGAAAGCGGCGGTTGAAGCGTCTTGATGAACTCTATTACAATAACAAGTATGCTTATAGAAAAGGCTGGCATGTCTTAAAAGGCAAACACTGTCTCCAAACAGTTCGGTGCTGTTTAGTTGTGTATACTCTCCTGAATACAGCGGCTAGGTATGCACACCCGTGGAATGCACACTATGGAACAGTCGAAAGCACTCGGCGCAGCTCTCGCGCAAGGTTTCGGCGCATCCTCCTGACACCTCTGCGGTGTATACCCCGAAACTTCTCATCGCAAGCTGCAACATACTTCAGTGCCACTTCGATTTACTATCGGGGGTAAACATGAACACCAAATGAAACTTAATAAGACTAACAGTGTTTACATGCAACTTTTTGATTTCGTTTAGTATAATAAGTTTTTAATTAAGGGGCCTACACAGGTCTTCATAACACATCAGTCAGGAACACTTTGAATTACTTGAAAATATTGCACATAGTCGTTAGAATTGTGTTGCAGCATGCTTTTACATTCTCAATCCTTTAAGGTAGAATCGAAGCTCCCTTTTCTGGCCACAGAGTGCGAAACCTTGGATAGTTTGTGCTTGCGTCTATCTCCCGTGAGCATTTCACTGTCTCATTTGGGGAAGATGATGCCAAGCGAAGAGAAGAATGTTCAGTTTCGGGTTGGAAGCATCATCATTTCAACCTTTGAGTCACATTGGCAAGTGCGACGGCAAATGCTTGGAGGGCACTGAAAGGGTACTGGAAATCGAGGGTGTAGGCGTTTCCATCGATGCGCCCGAACTGCATCACCTGAAATCCGTAGACAGACGTAATTAGTAATATCACTCATCAAAATGCCCTGCCTGTGAGTTCCCTTCTAGAAAGCTACTATTGTGCAGATTTTAATATGTGACGCAAACAGCCTTCTTTTTAGTGCGCTTCCCAATAATACCCAAGAAAAAAAAAAACAGTTTTTATTTCAGTCTGTCGATTAGACTGTCATGTGCAGAACTGCGTTTTATGAGGAACGCAGCGGACGCGAATTCCAATTGGAGCCTTCCGGGTACCCGACGTCATGTCAGCGTTGCCATATCCTATGTTTGTACTGTTCCGTTTTTCAATTGTTTTTGAAGTTTTTTGCACCTGGCGAAGTCTTCTCGGAGCATTTCCAGAATGCTCTGTCTTGCTTCTTCTGTTTTTTTTTTTCATTATATTTTTTATATTTATATTGTGGCTTGTGGAGCTCGCAACGCAAGTTATCGCAGCTAGGTCAACCCTTCGAACTTGGCACACTCTCACTTTATTCCGGGGTAAATCAGTGTTAGCTTCAGGAAAAATGCAAACCTGCATTACCACAATCTACTAGTTTGTTTTCGAAAAAAAAACATGGAATACATTAAAAAAAAAAACGTATAACAAACGCGCATCTTCCACGAAGACGCTCGCCTAGCAAGGTAAACAAAAGTCGGGCGGCGGAGAAAAGCTCACCGGAGAAAAGCTCACCGGAAAAAAGCTCACCGGAGATAAGCTCACCGGAGATAAGCTCACCGGAGAAAAACTCACCGCGAAACCGGCAGATGCGGAGAAAAGCTCACTGGCCTTTAAACGGATGCGGAGAAAAACTCACCGATTTTTTTTAACTTAGCGGATTCTGCGTCAAACGTTGCATTTTAACAGAATTCGCACTTGCCACTTCATTAAAACATATCCAGTTTTTTGTAATATTCTTGAAGTTCATTGGGCATATTCACTAATTCATCAGAAATTAGTAATAACCCATTTTGTATATTAATGATTTCGCAAGTATAAAATCAGAACATCTTACACCGGTAAAAAAAGACAATTTATTGACAACTGGCAGTGTGCCATGGTGGCTCTATCAATAAAAAGGTTTGTTCTTTGCGAGCTAGTATGAATAGCGGTGTGTGGATCGTTTCAGTCCAAATATTGTGTTGTGCCTAATAGGTAAGTAGGTGTTTGTTGATGTAATCAGTGTCGCCTACGCTATTTTCCTTCTGTTAATTTCACTATCAAAACTTTGGTTGCGAGAACAGCTTCGTCCAGTCGTCTTTGTTGTCTTCACTCCGTCGTCGTCGTTTGAGCGGTTTTCATCATGTATAACGTTTACCAACTCGCGCGATTCACTACCTTACAGAAGACTGGTTCTTATATAGGTCACGAGAAACAACGGTGCCAGTGGGCAGCTCTGAAGGTCACGGGTACCTCGCAGTAGATTGGCACTACCACACAAAGGCAACGTGTGGAACCACCAGCACGTACGGCTAGAAAACGTGCTTCTCTGGAAAAAAAAAAAGGAAAAAAAGAAAAAAACCTTGATATTCTCGGACTGTTTTATCCTGTTCTCAAAAGTTAACAAAATCTTCAAAGAGAATTTCAGGCACCGCGTTGTTGCGCATGCGCTTTCGAATTTTCGGCATTTACAGTTTTGATTTTTCGGTTTTAGGCAGACATTATTTTCTTGTTCTTCTAGTTCATAAAGTGTTGAGTTGGGCTTTCGTTGCCTAACCAGAGTAAGCCACAGAATACACTCGCCGGTAATTATTAATTTGGAAGCAATATACCTAATAAGCTTAACAAATAATACAAAAAAAATATTTTCGTTTTGACAAAGTTGACGAATTTTAATGTTAATAAATTGGATAGATGTCACGCATAATCCAACAGCCTACATACAAAAAGAAGAAAAAAAATTGGTGAGCTTTTCTCCGCATACGCTCAATGGCCGGTGAGCTTTTCCCCGCCGGTTTTGCGGTGAGCTTTTCTCCGGTGAGCTTTTCTCCGGTGAACTTTTCTCCGGTGAACTTTTCTCCGGTGAACTTTTCTCCGGTGAGCTTTTCTCCGGTGAGCTTTTCTCCGGGATTCACAAAAGTCCACCCATTCATTCCTCGTGGTTTAACTATGTTGACACGATCACAAAAACACTTTTCTGCTTAGCGAAAATTTGTTTAGTTAACTAATGCGATACACGGCCCTGACAGATTCAAATTAGTGGCAGCTGGTACTCATTTTGTAGGTGCGAAGTACCGCAAATTTGTATCGGGACGAGCGTTGCAGCACGCCAAACAGCATGCGCTGCAACAGTGCCTCCAACCGGACAAAAAAAAGTTTATTTTGATTGATTTCTATGACCTGTCGAGCGCATCATAAATTATGTCGCAATACTACTATCATTTGCAATGTCTTGTTGTCTTTCTTATGCTTTTTTTTTTTTATATCAGATGTTCTGAAATTCGCCGGCGAGTTTGTGGAACTTTCGGGTTTATTGTGAACATCGTTCTTGATAAGCGATAAACGAATACATGGCGTCTCTATCCATTTAGTGGCACGCAAAACGTTAGCGTTGCCCGATGTTAGCCGTTTCCTAAAACAGCGCAGAGTATATGTACCGCAGATACGGCATCACGCTATAGACCTATTTTAGTTTCGCATGTTAGATATTTAGCTTTATATTTATTGAACGAAGTGACTTGTACATACATGTTTTTTGGTCGGTACAGCAAAATTGGTTATAAAGACGTTTCACTTAATGACGTAATTTGCAAATTATATTCTACTCCTCCTTTAATGAACGGTCAATGACAATCTGACCCACATATATTGGCGAGCATGATGAACATCTGTGCCAATTGCAACGCCTTAGCACTGCATTTGGCAACGGTACACTAAGGACACAGATTATCGATTAAAACGCAAGATTCCTTTCGTTTTCTCGTCTGTTAAAAAAAAGAAAAGGAAAAACAAATGTATATATCTGTGCAGTACACAACCTTAGAACTATGAACGTGGATTGACCGGCTCTACTTCGCTCTTTCAGCCACGAGAGTCGTCGTTCATCATTGCCCTAAGAACGCGCTCGTTTCCTTCAGCCGGGCCTTGGTTACGCGTGTGACGAAGTGTCATCAATGCGTAATCAACTCTCGACAAATGAAAATAAAAAAAGCCAGAAAAAACTATTATTATCTTTTTTTTTCTAAAAAGCGGAGTGGTACTACACCATTTGAAAAACATATCGATCAAGTTAGAGCCCCAAATGAACGAAGTCAGAGCCAACTTTAATGTGCCTTTTAGAAATAATATGCAGCTGCATTTCAATCTATCGATCAAACCGTCATGTGCACAGTTACTTGTTATGAGGAATGCAGCGGACGATAATGGCCAGCCTCAGCTTTCCTGCCACGCTCCGCCGTGTCTTCTCAAATCGTCGCCTCGTCCTTCGCTACCGCGCGCTTTTTCGTCTTCTTTTCCGAAAGTTTTTAGCAGGTAACCGAACCTCTTCGAAGCGTCGTGGCATCCCCGCGTCTTACGCTCCCGCCTGTTTTGTTTTCTTTTGTTGTTGTCGTCTCCGAAAGCTGACAGCTAGTCCGCTCTAGCACCTTCCACTGTACCAGACGACGCGGCGCTTACAGACGCTCGCGAAGTCCGAGTTAGCTTCCCTAAAAGTGCATTTCCGCAATAGAATAGGAAAGCCACAGCGTTCGGTGTGGATGCCTTAAGGCCACGTCATTACGCAGCTGGGAACTCGAATTCGAGGACATGGCACCTGATTTCCCTTGAACTCGATCTGGAAGTTCTTGGCAGACTCCTGCGTGACCCGGCCGCCAAAGTCGAGCTGGTAGACCTGGCTCACTTCGTTCCAGAGCGGGGCCTTGTTGTGCAGGATGAACTCCTTGTACATGGGCGGGGGCTTGCTCGGAGGAAGCATCTCCTGCTGGTGGACCTTGCCGTGACGCTTCTTCAGCTGCGGAGGAATTGCGCAGGTAGTTAATTAAGACTAGACCGCTGACTGGAGCGTAGCTTAGTTGTCACAATGTCGCGCTTGCGGGACGGTTACCGTCAGAGGATTGCGAGCGGCGGTTTTGGGGATTGGGCTAAAATCGTTTAGAAGAGTACTACCAATCGTCCTGAATGTTCTTCCCTGCCTCAGCTGCATCTACGCGACACATCGTACGTAAGAAAGACTTGCCTGCGTCACTAAAGAAGGCTATCGGAGGACAAAGATTGGACGGCTGGAACTCAAGTGTTACAGGCACAAATTCCAACCGAAGGCTGACGAAGCTGTCGTGCCCGATCTGCGCTCCGTGGTGACGTACTAGAAGCGCCAGAAACAGGGACAGAGTTCGCTACAGAGTAAGGATTGACGACAACACAAGGCGCCCTGTGTTGTCGTCAATCCTGACTCTGTCTTGGTTTTTGGCGCTTTTAGTACGAAATGAACCAACTACCCCAACTTGGAATAATAGAGAGTTTTCGTAGACCGCGTTTCCCCCTCCGCTAAGCCCTCCGCAACGAAGAAGCCGCTACTGCGCCTGCGCGTCGATGGCCTTGGCTGTAGAGTTCCGGGTATCGTACCGGAGAGCGTTGTGGGACAGCGGAAACTATCTACGAAAATTCCCTAGTAAGTCTAGCTTGCGCGTGTGGTCGACGGTCTGAAAAAGGAACCGCATACGTACACCTTTTTAGTAAATCACAGCGTGATGCATAAAGAAGCCGATTTGTGCGGTTCACTCAAAGGAAAAGATGAGCTTCGTTGAGTTTGCTTCTCCTACGGCACGTGCTCACCGCGGAGAAGCGACATTTGCAGGAACTGCATCGCGGGTACAGTTTTGCGGTGGCCCATACAAAAGTTCACATGTACTGCGTGAGGAAATCTCCACACGGATTTCTGGGTACGAACTAAAACCAAGTGGTTTCGTTGTTTTTAGAAGTATTATAATCCGAGTTTATTCTCTGAAGCGGGAAAATTAGGAAATATAGGAAAATATTTGTAGTCTAGACTAGATAACAAAGATTGGAATAGAGGGATGCGGTATTGGGAACTTTTGTTTATTTTTGTACAAAATATTAAATTTAATAACCATTATTAAGATAGAACTTTCACAGTGAATAGGCCATGCATGCAATGTTATTAAAATGCCAATTTTTGTTTTTGTTTAGTCTTTATGGTTCTGTTGATAACACTATTTGCGAAAATATATCAAAATAAAAATCAGTGTTTAAAAAAAGATTGCACTTTGAACTATTTTACCTACTCTCGGCGATGAATCTTTGGCGTTGCTTTTATATAAAAAGCGAAACACGCAGGCATATAATTCGTGGTTCCACAAAATTGGTGCAGCATATAGAACAAGCTACTCTATCTTTCAGATTCGGTGTTCGGTGCATCATTGGAGACGATATAAAATGATTAAAATTACTGTTTGGTTCGTATTTGTTTTCATTTCAAAAGTCACTCTTTACATCGTCACAACAAATTATACAAACCGATAGCAAGGAAGTTTGCAACAAGGTCTTGTTTCTGGACTTCGTAACTTCACTACATGTTTTTTTTTTTTTTTTTTTTTTTGTATAGGCTGAAGCGCCGCTCCAAAAGACGATAGAAGCGGGAGGAGAAAATAGAGAGGTTACCCAAGGCGGCCTGCCTTGGCTGGCTACATTTCCGCTGGCTACATTAGTGCATGTGAGCACGTGTGTACTCACTTGCCATTACGGCTGCCTAAACTAGACGTGTAAACCATTTTGTTTCGAACGCTTTTGTTTCTTTTTTTCTTCCGGAGCGCGTGACAGCGCGTCTCCCGGCGCGAGCTCTCGGTTTTGACAAAGCTACAACGGCACTGTGTTATCGGCTATTTCTTTTTCTCAGAACGCGCGTGCAGAGGGCGTCGGGTTCTACAAAAATCATGAGCCGCCATTTCAATCTCTGAAGGTGGATGACCCGAGAAGCTGTTTAGCACAGGACACAGGCCCGCCCCGAAGAGCCGGAGGAAACTAGACACGCGCGACGGGACCGCCCCTCGGCGGAGAGTAGACACGCGCGACGGGACCGCCGCCCCGGGAGAGCGGAAGGAAAGGAAAATAGGCACGCAAGCGCTTGGAACGAAGACGAAGAGAGCGCGGTGCGAGCGTAGACATGGCTGACGCGGGTTGCACAGCGGCAAATCTTTGAGAAACCTTTATTATCTACCTGAAAGTGTACTGATCTTGAAAATGGTGCCTATTGACAACCAATGTACCGAAAATGCATACCCAAGTGATGAGACGTAGGAGCTTTTGCATAGAATGAAGCGATTTTGCATCAAATTCGGGACCTGAGTTTTTGTTGACGCACACGAAACCTCCACGGAATCCTTGCCAGAAACAGCTTCGCTGTAAAACCCAAACTATAAAGCGGGTTGTTAACGGTGTGGCGTAGCTGAGGTGTTAAAGACAAACTAAACAAAGCTGTAGCGTAGCACAGTGGTAACGCCTCCGCTTCGCATGCAGTGGGCCCAGCTTCGATCCCGCGAACGGTGGGCGCTCTTTGTCTAAGGATTTGTCAACACCGACGACGGACGCCCAATGACGCCAACTGCAGCGACGGTGAGAAGAGCCCAGTGGTGGAACGAGGCCCATAACAGCTATCGCTGTAAAAGGTACGAGGCCACTCCCGAGTGATCATTCGGCGCCTTAAAAGTGAGTCGTTCGGGGCGCCGTCAGCTAAGTGCAATTTTCACCGCTTCACACATTGGTGATATCTGATTTATATTTGTAGCCTTTGAACATATCGGGGTTGAACTTGGTTGGAACTTCGTCGAAGTGTTTGTTAAAAGTTTGAATTTCGTCGATGTTTGAAACCTAACGGGTTTGCAAGGCCGAAAATCATCGAATTTCTTAGTGTGATAAAGTCGAAAGTTCGAAAACGTCGATTTTCATAGCGCGAAAAAGTCGGAAGTTCGAAAACAATCGAATTTCTCTGCGCCGAAGATTCGGAAGTTCGGAAATTGTCGAATTTATTTATGTCGTAAGTTTGATATTTCGTAATTTTACGAACCTTTCGACCTCCTCATTAGTTCGATCTTCGAACCTCAGGTTCGCAAAAAGTTCGCGGCATCTCTAATTGCAACCTTAAGTACTGTCATGTCTCACTAGAGAGGCCGTATAGACAGCGAGCGCGTATCCAGCCGATGCCGGTGTCGTTGGTGTCGGTTATTTCTGTTTGTCGTTCTAGTGGGACTATAGGGCATTACAAACGCTTTAAAGAGTAACGCACCTTCTTGCGGATGTAGGCCTTCTGCATGCTCTCGAGGTCTCGGAAGCCGTCCGACAGGAGTTCCTCCCCGCTCTGCGCCGCTTCTTCGTCCGAGCTGTCCACGGCGGCCCGCTGGTGTTGACGCCCGCTGCGGGCCTTGCGCAGCAGTAGCGGGCTGTAGAGGAGCGTGCGCAGCTGCTGCTGCCTGCTCTTCCGCCCGCTCACGGGCGACGACGGGATGCTGCGGCTCAGCGTGGGCGACGAGGGACACGACGACCGCTCCGACGACGTCTCCTCGCCCGCCGGCAGGCTGCCCCGGTGCTCGCACAGCCGCACCGACAGCCGGCTCGGGCTCTGCGAGGGCGTGCTGTCGCGACTCGCCGGCGACGTCCGGCTGCCGGACTGCTCGTCTTCCGACGGCCCCGCCGCAGACGCCAAGACCGCCGCGGCGGGTCTCGGATACCCCGTGCACACGAAGGGGTCCTCGTCGGCGAACCTCTGCTTGCGGACGGCGGCGGGTGAGGCCGATTGGGCCGCCTCGCAGACGCACGTCGGTTCCTCGGACGCCCTGGAGGTCGTCGTGGGTCCCTGGACGTCTTCGGGACTGGTCCGCGGCGGGGCGCCGGAGCGGAGCGTGAGTCTGCGGGCGTCGCATCCCCTGCTCCGGGGGTCTCCGCGCAAGAAGTCGGCATTGGGCGGGCCGATGCTGCTGCGGTTGCGATGGTGGCTGAGCAGGAGAACAGAGGCCACGTCTCCCACGACGCCCTCGTCAGGCTCTTCGTCGATGTACTTGAGCTCGCCGGCCTTGTCGGCCCAGCGGGGCACCGGGTCCAGGAGGTGCCGAACGCGAGGCTCGGAGACTGCCGACGCGGGGCCGGCCGAGGCGGCGGCGGTGCTTCTGTGAGGGGCGGCGGCTTCCCCCTACAGAGGCGGCTCGCCGTCGGGAGACATTTCGGGAGACAGCCGGCTGCGGGCCATCCTCCGCATCCTGGGGGAGACGGCGGAAGGGACCGTTCTGAATGCCCCTATCGGGCGGGCACTGGGGCTGTGCCGCTACGGGTAGGCACTGCACAAGCATGTTCTTGTCGGAAAGACTATTCGCCATACGAAGCTGCAACCATAGTTCCGTTCTTTTATGTTCTCTGAAATGCAACGGACGCCATATTTGAAGGCGCTGTTTGGAGCGCATGCTCGGAACGAGCTCATAGTAATATGCAGCTACGACCGGCAATCTTGATGGTGCGGAATGCACATTGCGAAATTACTGTGGAAGCTCGCCCTCAACACGTACCCAGCAATCGCGCATGCAGCTATGGCCGCCAGTGAGTACTACTTATGTAGTCACTGACAAGACTAGAACGGCATGCAGGGCATGTCTTTCGACCGCCCGAAGTCCAGCACACGTTCCATGACCTGCGCCGCGCTTTGACCGCGCGTGTGCGCTCAAGGTGACGCGGAAGCGTTGTCGACGGTAGGAAGCTCGCGCTGGAGGCGGGACAACACAAGTTTATTCCTGCCTTTCTCAACCTGTGAGTGACTATACTCTGTTTCGTCCTTAGAGTAGAACGTTGTCAAAGCTGCCGGCGGGAGCATGGGGTTTGACCTCGCAGATCACTTGCCATAGCCTCCTATGGGAAGTATTCACTGGCGGCCATAGTTGTGTGCGCGACTGCTGAGCGCGTGCTGATGGCGAGCTTCCACAGTTCTTTTTCAACGTGCATTCCACACCATCAGGGTTGCCGGTCTTAGCAGCCTATCAATGTGGGCTCGTTCTGAGCGTGCGCTCTAGACAGCACCCACAAATATGGCGCCCAGTGAATACTCCTTATATACTGGCAAGGCCTGGCAGATCGCCACGAGAAGCGGCCGCCTAAATGGAAAAGGTAGAGCGGCAGACAACGGATGAGAGGAGAGCCACGTGACTGGCGCCCCGCTGCGGCGAGACGCCGAAACACACTTCTCCCGAGCGAACAAGTGTGTTTCGGGACCTCGCCGCTGCAAGGACCGGAGAAATGGCTCTCTGATGATCCGTGCTACCAGATGCTCGCGCTCCAGATCTGCGACCGGGCAATCTATGGCTCCGTCGTTGAACTTCCAGGTTATGCACTTTGCACGCGTCCTCGCGCAGACGAAACCATAGATGAAGCCATGCGCCCGCACCAGTAGCTTTGGCAGCGTTGTAAGACCTTTCCAAGGTTTACAGAATCACAGACCAGCGTGCGACCTTCACAGTCCATCCAGCACGTGCGTGTTCGTCGCTTCGGAAAGCGAGCAAAGCACGCTATACATACAAACACTCAAGATGGCGCCGGCCACACGCTCTTTTTTTGGAAAGGTCTGTACTAAATATAAAACGGAACGTGTCTTTTTTTTTGGTGGGCTACACGCGCAGCGCATGGTGTTTGACAGATATCTGTATGTAGTGACGTCGGAGCAGGGTTTCCCCCTCCGAACGAACCAGGAGCTTCGTTGCAGCTCGCAAATACGGGCACAAAGCGATTTCTCGGGTTAGCGAAAGAAAAGGAGAGGACGACCTACCCTGCCCTGGGGTCAGCACGGAGTCGCTTGGACGGCGACGTGGCCGGGTCTTCCTCGTCGTCTTTGGCCAAGGTGACCGCCGAGGGCCCCGGCAGTTCCTTGCTAACCTCGGGGGCCTGGTCGCGGGCGTGCCCGGCGGCCGTTTGCGTGGCCACAGACATGATGGTGCCTTGAGGTGCGGCCTGGCCCGCCTGCCGCAGCGATAGCACCTGGAACATCAGGATATGTTTGAGGGAGATGTAAGCCGTCGAGGAGGTACTCGGAAGACTCATGAAAGGCAGCCAGAAATGCATTAGGAGGGAAGCCGAGATCTCGCGTGAAAAAAAGATGCCACTATTGTGCTTCTCCGGGGATCGTCGCTACAAACTTCCGTGGAACAGTAATGGATTACAGCAGTCCAGAAACCGGCGCAGATTGTGGACGCGTTCATATATTGAGAGCGAGGACGACACGCTATTTTGACTTCGCACATCCTCATCCACTTGGGCTTGGTTTTGTACTACGTGACTTGCACTTGTGGCGAGTTTCCACAGTATTCAGTAGAGTAATCTGGAGACTCGGAAAATCAACAAGTGTCATCACTTTTCAATAAGTTGATGCCGCCCTCTCGGTTTACTTGGCTGTTCACTTTGTGCTTTGAGCGGGCCTTGTGGTGAGGCGCATTTCGCATGACCGCGAAGCATTGGAAAGGTGTAGAAGTTCGAATTCGGAGGAACAAAAGAGATTGGGGTGAATGTGTAAACCGAATTGGACCAGCGTCCTCCTATCAATTGCCGTGTTCATTGTCAGAAGGCGGAGGCAGAAAGACGAGAGAGACGGGCAGGTGCTCACCTGCACTCCGGCTTCGGCGGTCGTCTCCAGGGTGAGGTACTCCTCGGAGGGCCCGGCGTCGGCCTGGCCGGTCTCGGTGTCCAGCAGGGCCGCGGGGTCCCGACAGCGGAGTCCGCACCGCTTCTTGGGCGTCATCGGGGCGATGGGCGCGCTCTCTTCGCTGGTCACGGGGTCTGCATAAGATGGGCGCGCCGTCGCTGAAGCAGCCCACAGCCGCGCGCCGCAAGTGCTTCGTTTCGAGCGTCACGAACAGCGCAATGATTCCAAGGGATTCCAAGGAAAGGGGCCTTTCTAATGGTCAGATTTATTAATTTCATTGTCGACCGTTCTGAATCGCTGCAATGGCTCGGTGATTGATTGATTCATTGATTAAAATATCTTTATAGTTCTCCAAGTCATGTTCAATCAATCCATCACTGAGCCATTGCAGTGGCTCAGAAAGGGTCGGCATTTTCGATTATTTGGAAATGGCCTATGATGGAGTTTACAAATGGCTGAGAAACTAGTTTCTTTCGGGTACAAAATACTGATTGTTCTTAAGAAATATTTTTTCACCAGAAAATAAAGACGTAAAAATTTTAATTTAATTTTAGTTTTAATTTTTTTACACCTTTATAACACAACGTTTTGAAAGGAGTCTTTCGTTTTCCAAATGTACAAACCATAGTTGTAGAACGTTTTTGTAAAAACTATTGCGACCAGAGTTATTACTGCCACAACTACGGATACAAGAGCGAATATCCGGGCGCTACTGAATACGAATTGGTTGAAGAACTATCTTCGGAGTAGAGGTGGCTTGGGAAAGCCGTCCTGACACGGTTAGTAAACTTTCGAGGGTGTGAGGACGAGAGAGGAAGCGGAAGTCCTTATGGCGAAGACAAAGGGACGAGGAGCAAGCCAGACGTGCACTGCTTTTTGCGTACATCAACAAAACTAAAACATCTTGTAAACCCTAAGATGGGGAACGATAAAAAAAAAAAATAAAAAGAAACAGACGAACCCATCTCAGGGTTTACAAGATGTGGATTAATTACTAGCTCGCCTGCACTCTCTTACTGCTTTCTAAAACACACCAGTAAAGAAAAAAAAAAAAGGAAAAAAAAATTACCGTCGGTGTATACTCGATTGAAGCGACTTCCCTGTACGTTCTGCTTCGGTCGTTGTGCTTCCTCACAGTGCAGAGAGGTAGAGTGGTGAGAAAGATTTGCCAGGCACTAAAGCCAGTAAAATGGGGTTTCATTTTTAGGAGTGTTTCGAGCAAACCCAACGAAGGGCACGTGGCGCGCCTTAGCGATGGCCTGGGAAATAATACAGAGCGCAAGTTCGTCTGCCTCTTTTGCAGGGGTTATGGGGACGTCAGAACGCCGAGCTGGGATTGGTTCTGAATGAAGGGTAGTGGGTATACATCAAGGCAGCTTGATTTGAGGTCTTCTCACTATCCTTCAATCCGAGCCAATCAAAGCTCGGCGTCTTTCTGACGTCCCCGCCACTCCTGCTCAAAAAGCAGACGACTTTCTCGCCGCAAAGGACCATCTCACCAGCCAGTTTGGCAAAGCCACCGCTTCTGCAATACATAGAGGGAATTTTAGTCGTTCTGCTCGCGCGGCAATCTCCCTGGAGCTCTGCGCGTGCTGACCTACAAGAAGGCACGAACTGTCTCGGGCAGCGCCCCCTGCCTTCTGAGAACTAAAGTTATGGCCGATCCACGCATACGCCGAACGCTTGGTGAAATCGGTCTATTCGGGCAACTTTCTACGTCTGACGCAAAATCTAAGTTAAGGCCAGTTCACACAGGGCAGGCCCTTTTATACGGGTGGATGTGACGTTTTCAGCTACTTCCGCCCATTCGAATACGACGATAAAGCGCCCATCATGCGGCTGCAGTTCAGTGGGCTTCGTCATAGTGTTGAATATTGAACGCGTCTTCGACTGGTGTGTTTATAGGCTCCTGTATACTGCCCATGTACCAAACGTGATATCGAAGTGGCAACAAATTACGTCACAGCAGCCGGTGTGTCGTGCTGTCGGATGTTGCAATCCTGGTTGTTGATTGCAAAAATTAAAAAAAAAGAGACCCTTTTCAAGTGTTGTTGTTGACGCCGCGACCCAACTTCTGACGTACTCTGGCTTCCTATTGACTGTCAAGCTAGAGAGCCGGCGTTTGCAATACCGGCGTCTGCAATATCCACCACCTCTGCTGTACCACCACAATGTTAACGACCTTTTGTTTTGCTCGAGTGTCAACGGCTGACCACAAGCTCCTTAAGAAGTGGCACTGCGTGAGATTGCGCAGGTCGCCAGAGTGCTGATTTTTGTTTTGGCTGTTTAGTGTTCGAGAAGAGCTCGTAAGCTCAATTACATCAATGAATCCCCTTAGCGTCTGAAAAAAAAGAAAAAAAGAAATGTGATCGCGCTCGTAAATCTTAGTAGGTAACGTCAATTCAATTCAATTCGATTAAAGTTATTCACTCCGATAGTAAAGAAGAGGAGGGGGGAGGTGGGCAGGAGAAAAAGCTGCAACAGTGTTGCTTGAGAAGGCCCCTGCCCCTTTACACGTGTGTCACTGCAAAGGCTAAAGGTGCAAAAAGGCAACTTGGAAGGGGCTTCAGTCGCAAGGTTCCATGGGAACAGTTTTTGTTTCATTTCTCAGCTCAAACCAAGCAAAGGAAAAGAGAGCGATCGTCACACTTTTAGTGTGCCTTCCGTGCACTCGCGTTCGTGCAGTAAAAACACCTTTTGAGTTAAAAAAAAAAGCCAAAAAAATTCTTGAAAAAAAAAACAAAAAAAAACAAAAAAACAAACGGGTTGGGTGAATTCTAGAGTATTTTTATCCCGTGAATTTGAGTATCACGTTCGTTTTTTTTTTTCCCCTAAGATGTCACTAAACGCGAGAGAACGCGGAAACCCTCCGTCCAGTATGTTACGTCAAACGCAGATCTTTCTGCCGCCAAGCGCGTGTCGCTCGTGTGGACAGCGCGTGCAATTGCGAGCTGGTTAGGTATAATCCCTTGCACTGACACGAGTCGTAACGTCTTTTTGTGACCTTTTTGAAAATAGCAAGAGTGCGTGTGAATCGCTTTGATAGGCGCTGAAGATGCGCAAAAGCCGAGATTCCAAAAGCTCCGCATATGCTGTCACGCTCTGAGAAAAAAAAAAAAAAAAAAAAAAAAAAAGCAAAAACTTCAGCGGTATTAAAAGAAAAAAAAAAAAAGAATTCTGCAGCTTCCGTGCAGTAAACTAAAAATAATCTCGATATTGGTGATCCTGGAGGCTAAATGAAGACGATTTAAGTTTTTTTCCTCAAATGCAGAACCGCCTCAGTTGCCCTTTAACACGCTCTCCTTGTAACTTCTGCTTAGCTAGCTCACTCACCAGTTCCAGTGCTGGAAAGTTCTACGGGGTGCGGCAAATGAAGCTTGCAATGCCGGATTGAAGATCAGTAAACACGTGCTTCGAAACACGGACAATCCGGAGAAGAGCATGTGCCACAAAATCTGAATCAAATAGTGCCCTGTCATATTCAGTGTTTACTCTGCAAGCAAGTACCGTAACATCCTGCCCTTTTTTCTTTCCAAAGCTTGGCACTTTTTAACCAAAAATGTGGCGCTATTGATCTAAAATGCGGCACTATTCATCCAAATGCGGCAGTGTCCAACCAAAAATACGACACGATGCGCCAAAGCTGCGCTATTATTCGACTAAAGTGCGACAATATTCAACTAACAGGAAGTAGAGGGCTGATTGAGAAGTAATGAGACAGCTTCTTTGTTTCCTTAGCGAGGAGGTAGACGGGAAGTGTACTGATGTTTCTAGAGGACACGCATCAACATGTTTGACCCTTCATCGCTCTTTCGCAGCGAATGAAGGCACATCAGACGTGTCGCCAAGGCGGATGACGAAGACGTGCTGAGAGGGTATTGCAGAGGTGCGTGATGAAATTTTATGTTTCATGATTCTTGGACTTTTCACCGTGTAATTTCTTAATATTATGTAACAACGAAAAAAAATCTACATGGGAGGAATTTTTTTTTTTGGATACGATGAAGTGAACAAAGTCGTGGCTGCAACGCTGAAAGTGATGTCGGCAAAACATTCTTTCACATATTCGTGAATTTTTTTTTAACATTCTAAACAATATAATATGCACAAAAATTGAATTGTGCTACCCTGAAAAAAAAAAAAGAAAACCGATCACAGCTTGTAGGATCACTTAATTTTGTATGAAAAAATCGGCCTCATTACCTCCCAATGAACCCTCGCACTAATCGTCCAAAAGGCGGCAGCATTCAAAGCCCCTTCAAAGCCCCTTCATGTTTCAAAAGTACCGCAAGGTGCGTCGATGCACGAGGCACGTCCCACGTGCAGCCCTTGGGAAGATCATGGCGGCACGGCGCAGCACTGAGCTAGATTTCAGACGCCATGTTCTTCCAAGAAGAGGCGCGCGGCACGTGTCTTGAGCATTTCCAGAACAATGAATGGCGCCACTTTTCCCAGAGGGGCCCCGCTCCCTGCGTACCACACACGTCGTCGTCGTCGTCCTCTGAGAAGCCCTGGCTGCTGCTGCCTCCGTTGTGCAGAACGAGGGCGGCGCTCCTCCCCGGCTGGGGCCCCTGCAGCTCCTTGATGACGAGCGTCATCTGGCGGGGCTGGAGGTGGAGCAGGCTCGTCCTGTACGTCACCATCCCCAGGATCGGGGGCAGCCAGCACGCCAGGCCCACCACCTTGAACCGGGTGCCCCACAGGTTGGACGTGACCGCCACGATCTTCTCGCGCTCGGGGAGCTCGTCCGTGTAGAAGAGCTCCTTGCGGCCGCTGCCGCCGCACGCCGTGCCGCCCGCCCTGCCCCCCGACGAGGGCCCCGACGAGGCGTCGGCGCCCGCCATGCGGAGACGTCGTCGGCGCCCTGGGGTAAGAGACAAAGCGAAATTTGGTGTGTTTACGTGCTATACCAACGAAGGGCATCTGGCACGCCCCAGCGGAGGATAGATTAATTTCGACCTCCTGGGGATCTTTTTAAGTGCAAGCAATGTCTCGTTTATACCTTCTCTTCAGAGAGGGTATAAACAGGGACCTCGGCAGGGAGTCGAACCAGTACCATCTAGATGGCCTGCTCCTTTCTTCCTCACACGTCATCACTATAGTCGGTTGCAACCTAAGAACAATCTTTTAGCTCCACCCACAAGCGCATTGCGCCCATCTGAAGTGCCTCCGCCGTCGAGAAAGTAGTTCGCTAGCAACGTTGCTTTTTCTTCCTCCAGGAAACCTGTCTTAAACTACTACAATATTTATTTAATTCATTCAGGACATTTAAATAAGTTAGAATACGTTTTTGTCAACGAAATAGCTGTTTAGTAAAGAAAGAAATTCATGTCCAATGTACCGTCTTCCCAATTCATTTTCTGTCCAAGATACTGTCTAACATACCGTCTAACATACCTCTCAGCAGTGCTAAGCCTCGCGCCCGCTTCGAAATTTTCGTTGGCGATAGCGTCGCTGGATTCTCACGTTGTCGCGCAAAAACTGCTGCAAACGCAAGCCGATACTATCAAGATTTCGTGGCGTAACCTCGGGCACGTAAAACACGGTGCAAAAAAGCAGAATAATTGTCACGAGAAACTATAGCATCGCGTTGCTAAGGCCAGCAGCCATGTTGAGCTTTTTTTTTTTCAAAAGGATCGCGATTGGTCCACAGAATCGTGACGTCATGAAAACAATTGGCTGGCGTTTCTCGGCGTAGGATTACATTTTCCTCTGAGAGGCATTTCCGGTTTTTTCTTAGCTTGCAACCGACTATAGAAGATGCAAGCGGCGTCGATGCTCGCGTCAGCAACGCCCCCAGCGCGTCTTGCAGTGCCTCCCAACGAGCTCGACGACGACGACGACACTCGGTGACGACAAGACGAACGCATCAGAGGCCGGCGTTTTGCCTCGGATCCACCGAGGCGGAAATATATTCGAGGGAAGGACCAACTCAAACCATGGGGAGCGTCTGCAATAGCATGGCGGACGCTTTCTGCGAAGGGTGGTTGCTCATGCGCATGCGTGAATTGTTGCATGGCGAGGAATATTGCAGGCGGAGAGGCATTAGCAAACCTTGAAGACACTGGACGCTTTCGCCAAATAGCTTATTAGGGTCAATACTCTCCACTCCACTCAGATGCGTTAGACAGCGCGCTTTCAGCGTTAAATCATCTCCTAACCTCGTGGGCATGTCGCATCGGAAGGTGCATGAACATCGTGCTGCCCACACAGACGCGTGGCTCCGAGGGAGAGAGCAGCCGCCGGCGCACGGAGAAACCGGGTTCTCCGAGACTGCAGAGACGGCGGTGTCGAATGGTGCCCAAGATACCCACGACGATAGACGGCGCCAGCTACCCGTCCCAGTTAAAAAGGGGGAAACCCCGAGGCTGTGGCACGTCCAGCCGGTCCAACTATGCAAAACCTGTCCGACATCACGCGACACAAATACGGGTCCCTGATCGAGAAGTTGGAACTAGGGGTGCCGCGAACCTTACCAGGTTAAGGTTTAACCACGTTCGGTTTCTTCAAACTTTTAACGCAAATTTGCAACCGAAACCGAAGAAAAAGTGGCGTATTTGTGAGGCACATTCTTTTATTGTTTGACAATACTAAACAAACTAAATAAAGCATTAAAGGTACATATTTTTCGTATTGCGCAAACATTGGTAATAATTTTATAAAACGTAAACTAAACTACTCCATAAGACTATTTATTTCCTAAAATTCGAAATGCTTGCTTAAAATTTCGGGAAGCAACGCTCTATATAAGTTTAACTTCGTCGGACTTCACTAAACGTCTAAAGGTTTGAAGGGTCCGCCAAACCAGTCGAAGTTTGCCCAAGTTCGCGAAACCCCCAGTTGGAACCAGGCTCAGATTCAGGCCCACTAGCCTGGGGACGAAGCGCAGCCTTCGTCCACGTCGCTGTCGGACGGCGTGGCGTCGCTGCTGCCGCCGGGCGGCTGGAGCCTCTTGGGCTGCGGCTGTTGCGGGTCGTAGATGACGAACTCCGGGCGAAGCTTGCTGGCCCGCTTGCCCTTGAGCAGCGGCACCAGGCCGCCCAGGTACTCCAGGAAGAGCGTGTAGGTGGCGCTGCCGGTCACCAGGTCTTCGGTGTCGTGCCGCACCATGGTGCAGTGCAGGCGCACCGTGTGAGGCCGGGAGACGAACTCGCGCAGCTGGTTCGCCTCCGGCAGGTAGCACTGCGGACGTCCAAAGTTTGGCTCAGGATGCGAGCAGTGACAGGGTCTAACCGCGGATTAGCTATAGACCAGAGTTTCCCAAACTATGGGTCGACTAGATGTAGTGAGGCGGTCGCGAAGCGGCTCGGGAGTTTGCGAAAAAATATTAGCTTGGTTTCGGTGCTGTCAGTGAAAACAAAGTCGAGGTCGCAGATCAACATCGAGCCGCGAAACTGAGAGTTGTGGTGTCCAAACACCACCCTCGTTTTGAGAAATCGTGCTATAACAAATAAGCTCACTTTAGCCATTAGAAAGTCATCTTATAGTTGCCTGCATTTATATTTTTCTTTCTGTATTGGTTCTTAGCCCAGCTGATTCATTCCGACTATATTGAACGTCAAATAAAAATCCAACGTTCATTTTGTGTATTACTGGTCACGCACTGAAGTTGAAAAGCTTGTGACATTACAAAAAGCCAAGAAGGTGATCGGGAGGTCGAGACGCACCATTTTATGTTTACTGTGGGTCGCAGGGCAGCAGAGTTCGAAAAGCACTGTCATATATGCTAAATGCCTCGTGTACTGTCAGGCGGGTGCATGTTTTGTGCATGCACGCAAAAGGGCACTCAACTTTTGAAATATGCACATGCGCGAGGTACAATATGTTCAACCCGACTTATTAAAACATAAACGTCTTACTAAATCCTTTTTCCTAGGTCTCTCAAGATACACAATTAAAATGTTTACTTCAAACTTACAAATGAAACGATGTTAGGATCCCCGATTCCGATGTTACCTAACAAGAGACAAGGGTACTGAAGCATGCGCAGACCGGAGGGACAGTTGAGACTAACCTTGGCCGCAGTACATCGGATTCGCCGTTTAAACTTCAAGTGGTGAACACTCACTGTTTACCTTTTATTGTCTAAAGGCCAACTTGATGTCGCGACCTGTACTTGGCGCTCCTCTGCACTAGACACAATGTACTGTCTCCCGCAATAAGGAAGCTCCATTCGCGGAGGTAATTTATGCGGCGTCACTAAGCACACTTTGGTTAGAGGCACTTTAAGTTTAGAGGAATTATAAAACTGGGGCACCTTTATTTCCTCATCTCAAGCAATATGGGCCTGGAGTAAGCGAATCGAGCACAGACGCCTGAAACTGCCTCGTAGAATAGGTATTTTATAATGTTGGAGACTGTACCGCTGCTTTTCAGGCTTAGTGGGCACGCGTTCTCTCCTCTGCTAACATCTATGTGCCTGGAGTGAAAAGTTGTGACAGCAGTGTATCTTCCAGTGTGCCACACCAGCCCCGATAAGACGACTGCAGAGAACCGCCTATTTGCCGAAAACGCAAAGAAGCTGTGCCAGGGCAACTTGGGTTAGATTTCTGTCTGATTCACTAAGATTGTCCTTGTAGTTTACGTCACAATCAATCTAAACCCTTCCATAAAGAAAGTTAATGTTCAACAAATGCACAAAATCTTTCAAAAAAGTATTGCTTTTGTTTTACGCGCGAGTGTTAACTCTAGGAAGTTGCTAACTCAATACAACATAATTCAAATATCACGAGAGTAGCTTGTTTAGAGCTTCGTAGAAGCTTAAACTTTTGTTTTAGGATCCTAGAAGCCAGCATATGACCTGCATGTTATATCAAAACAAGCAGATTCCTCCAGATCCTTTCCAACAATCCACGGCGCACGTTGAAGGATCTCTACGCTGCAACATGACGGTCATAAAGACAGTAAATAACCACAAAGGTCGCCTTCAAACTGACCACTACACAACTGCTCAAAACATATTTTAACCGAATTCGTCTGCGGAAGGTTGTAAAACAGTAGCTGTGTTGTGTGTTTGTTCACACAGTGGGAAGTTAGTCAGCCCCAGTAGGCATCTTATAGTGTCTGCGCTGTAGACGAGAAATGCAGCCAGTGCAATACCAGTTTGCCTAGGGTCTATACCAGGGGTGGCCAAACCGCGGCTCGCGAGCCTGCGGCTCTTTGCTGGTCCAAGTCCGGCTTGCGGAACCCCCCCCCCCCCCCCCCCCCCCTCCCGTCCACCCCTTTCTGCGTTTCCCAAGGAAAAAAAAAAGTATTTCAGAATAAATCACGGCTCGCGGTTTGGCAGCCTTGTACCCCCATACGTACAGTCGTGCAGCCTGTGCCCCCATACGTACACTCAGACTCTGAGCAAAATTTAAGTTTGCCCCCCTCACCCTCCTTCCCTCCTCCCCCTCCTCCTCCTCCTCTCCCCCCCCCCCCCCTTCCGCGGCTCTTAAAAGTTTCGTGATTTCGTTTGCGGCTCTTAGGTCGGGTCAGCCTGGCCACCCCTGGTCTATGCATTGCTTCACGCAGTAGTGATACACGACCGCACGCCGGTACGATGCTCATCCAGATCGAAACAGCCAGCGGTGGGAATTAATAGCTGGGTTCTGCAGCACGAGAGGTACGATGTGGGTAGCTCCAGTATCATAGCATATAAACAAAAAGACGCCAAACGAGTGCACGTGATTTCTTGAAGAGGCCCCACCGACGTCGAAACTATGGTGCTTGGAGCGCGCCTCCCACTTGTGTGTTTACAGCGTCCTCAAAAGTGGTCCCTCAATTTCCGTCTGATGACGTCATAAAAGCGTCATGCTGTTGCATGCCGCGATCCTGGAGGTGTCACAGTAGCCAAGGAGGATGCGGCAGATACTTCTGCTGTATGTCGCTCTTCAGCCAGGCAGCTGGCGCAAACCAAAGCAGACACGAGATGGGACGCCGCGACGACAGCGATTTTTGCGTCGGCTTGTCTTTTTTTAAAGAATTTCTTCGCCAAACCCCCAGGATCGCATCATACGACAGCATGAAACGCCGGCTTATGTGCTGTAATGTTTTTGCCACGTCGGGACCACTTTCGATGCAAGGACGGGAAAGGACGCTAAACACACTCAATTTCTCAGTGAGAGCTAAACAAAGGGAAATAAACTGTTTCTTTCTACCTGTACCACCTGACGGTATAGCAGGTTTAATCCAATATAATATAAAAAATGAGGGCCGTAATTGGCCAAACGACACAGGTCAAAAACGTTCTCCAGGCACCGACGTGGAGACAGAAGAGGGCGCGCGTCTCTTGCCTTGACCGTCTGCCCGAAGAGGTTGGCCACCAGCGCCCGCAGCCTCCTGGGCAGTGGGAGCTTGTGCACGGCGTCCTCGTGCCTCAAGGCGCGGTGCAGCGTGAGCCTGGACAGGAGCTGGAGCGACGCGATGCGGCGCGTCACCCAGCCGATGTGGATCACGCTGCCCGTGGCCACGAAGAGCCGCTTGTCGTTGTGGCCCCACGTCATGGCCGTCACGGGGCTCTGCAGGAACCACGCGGGGGAGGAGCACGTCAATGACCGGGAGATTCACGCACCCAGGGAGGGAACCCAAATCACCGACCTGCATTTATGTGGCGTAACACGTTGCTCAACCGTTTTCATCTTACCACGATTGCCTTCGGAAGTATGCGAATATAAACTGAGGGAGAGACGGAGATGACAGCGCTCGGGGGCGTAAAGCGCCGAGCTCTGATTGGAATGACTAGTCGGTATAAGCAACGGATAGCTGCCCTTGCCTCTGCCCACTGGTTGAACCCGTTCGAACAGTGGGCAGAGGCAAAGGCAGCTAGCCTTCACGCCTACCCACTGATCCTTCTAATCAGAGCTCGGCGCTCCGACGCTGCCGGGCTCTGATTGGAAGGATCAGTGGGCAGGCGCGAAGGCTAGCTCTCATCTCCGCCTCTCTCTCTCATTCTCTCTCTCAGTCTCTATCTGCATTCGTTTGAAGGCGATATAAACAAGATGAAAACGACCCAACAACGAGTTATAGGCCACATAAAAATGAAGTCGGTGGTCACGGCCGCGGTCACACTGTGTGGGGATTGTGATCCCTCAACATTCTGTCGCGTCAGCATTTTGGCGCGCCGTGGCGGCCGCGCTGGCGTAGCGAGAGGTGGCGCTGCTTACCACTGTGAGTGGTTAAGTTAAGTTAAGAAGAAAGTTAAGGCCACAGAAAGAGATTGGTGGCTAGAGGGAATGCAGACAAAGACGGCTCTGGAAAGCTATAGATTAAACAAAAGAGTTATTGCCAAAGAAAGCATTTATGACAATTCTAGGGGAAGCTCATTGCTGTTTGAGGCAAGAACGGGTGTTCTGCGAACCAGAACATACAGAGTGAAGTACCAGGAAATTGATACAGTGTGCACTGCTTGTGGAGAGGAGGACGAGACGGCTGGGCACTTGATACTCTACTGTAAAGGGCTTCACCCTATGCCTACCGAAGACAACATAGATTTAATAAAGTCATTGGGTTTTAGAGACAGCGAAGGGAGAGTGGATTTCAAGACTGTAGAGATTACCAAGCAAAGATTAAGTGAATGGTGGCAGAAATCGAGAGAAAACTAGGTATTTTCTTATCCACTGATGGCAAGGGGGTTTCATAGCCTCACTTTCTTTGCACTGCGGAGTGAATATAGATTTCACATTTAAATATTCTAAGCTTAAATGGTAAAACAAAATGGCTAGGTGGCGTAAGCTACCGCCCGATCCAAAGGGCTCAGCCGTATTCATCCATCCATCCAGTGGCTTCCTCCTCTCCCCTTTGGGGCGATTTCCGTAACGAACCCCCGCACAAGGGAGATCGACGTGTCGCTCCTTGATTGGCCACTTCCCCTCCGCCGTTATCTTAAAACCAGCGGACAGCAGTCTCGCTTCTCTCTTCTTCCTGGGATTCGGCGGCGGCGACAACGGGGAACCTTCCGGCGCACCGGTGAGCGTTTACCCCGTCCTTTGTACATTTGTGAACGACCGTTCGGCCGTGGGCGATCTCCACACCGACGGCGTTCACCAGCTTATAGCCGCTGTGTTGTTGTTATTTTGTTTCATTGTAAATAAACAGTTTATCACCGTTACCAACGTGACTGGTGTCTCATTGCGCTCGACGAGCAGCATGCCACGCGAGTGCGAACCCGCTTCGCGGTAGAGCGTCTCGCCGCGAACGTGGTACTCCCAAAGGCAGTGGCCCTAAGGAGAACCACAACTGCTACGGTGACATTGCGCATACATCATACCAAAGACAGTCTCCAGAAACTACCTGGTGCTTGTCCCTTCTTTGCATGACGGTCCTATTAGATTGGTCTTGCGAAAACTGCGTGGGGACACGTTCGAGGCACATATATCTGTACGAGGCGCTTCGAATATCCATGAGGCGTGCCCGCAGCCAATTCTGTCATCATGCCCGCGGTAAGCGTCTTTTGTACGATGCATGAACAGTGCCACTGCGGCTTTAGCGATTACCCGCCAATGATTCCATTTAGAGCTCTCATCTGCTCTTCTCTCTGAGCTCTTATCCGCACAACGTATTGCAGAGTCCTGGCACCATCTTGTGTCAACCGCTCCGTACCGCAAGGACCTCTCAAAGGCGCCATTTATTGATGGCACCCCGCACCTCCACCAAAATGTCACGTATGACAATTGATGAGGCGACGAATAACCGAGGGAAACTAAGCGTTTTATGGGGGAAGTTGTGCCCAAAAAGAAACAGAAGAAGGCTAGCGTCGCCGGCGTCGATGGCGGCGTAACAGCATGCGATCGAGCGCTGCGGCGAGACTGACTGCGGCTCGCCACGCGAAGCCCCGTACTGTACACGCGTGGGCTTCTGGAAGAATCAGTGTAGAAGGTTCGGCGCGTAGGAAAATTCGGACCTCGAACAAGCAACACGGTTTTCAAATTTACGAGAACGCGACATTTACTGAAACAACAACAAAAATGCGCATCCGCGGCCAGGCATCGAACTTCGGCCCTTTGCGTGGAAGCCAAGCACGATAACCATTCGGCCACGGACGCGCTCGCTCAGAGACGCGTGTGGCAATATGGTGCATTGGTCGAGGTACAGTGATAAGGCGTGATTGAGTCTGCTGGTGGAAACGTTGCAGGGCCGGAGTAAATATTGTTCAGCATTTCAGTGCCATCGTGCACTGAAGGTATAGCAGTAGCGAAGTGCCTACTCTCTACAAGACTGGAAAGGGTAGACAATACGGACGGGCCAAATGTATTATAGACATGCTCGGTATAGTTATCTTGGAAGAAAGTAGGATTCAGTTAAAAATAACAACAACAACAACCAAGTCCGCAGGCGATTTCTTCAACATTTATCTTGCACTCAAATTTGAGGTATGTGCATCAGAGAGAGACTCCGACTATACGTACGGGTACAAAGTCGGTGTTTCTCGCTAGTTTCGAATACCGGGATGAAAGCGACCGAGAAAATATGTTTATTTAAATCGGCAATACGTTACTGAAAACTGAAACTTTGGGTTTGTTAGATGCTCGCAAGGGTGACACAAACAAGCACGCGTTTGCCCACACCAGGCGCGGTCACTGCGCGTGCGCACAAACCCGATCCCCGTGACATGAAGCGTCTGCGCTTATGCAGTGCCAATCGAAGCAACACCTCAAAGGCGTGACGTAAGAGAGTTAAGATGGTGTGGGCTTAGACATTTTAAATTGAAATATGTGCCATTCGAAAGACCCAGAGTTTTGCCAGGACCATTAGGAAAGAAATATGAGGACCGTCAGTCAGGCAACATTTGAAATTAAGATTTTGGAAACTGAAATGATGCACAGCCGTAGTCGCGACAGTGTAATAGAAGGCGCACTCGCACGCTACTTGCAGAGAGCTAACATTTTCAAAGGCCGTTTGGCGCAACTGAGCCACTTTTTAACGTCGTACGTGCTAGTGGGCGTCCTTTAATAGCACACGAAGGACAAAGGATGTTCCTGCATGTACAGTGCTGAACACATCGCCAGGCATGGGCGGGAAAATAAATAAAATGAAGCATTTACAAATCACGTCTGTGACAGTATAAAGATATAGACGGAATAATCGAGAAAAAAAAATGCAGATGAATCGACCGTAGTTGATCGATTGAAATCAAGTTTACGAAGCCGTCGACAGACAAAGACTTGGCAGAGCCGGAATGTGAACTCCGGCTCTCCAGCTGTTCGGCTGAGTATGCTAACCACTACCGGGGTTAAAATTCCAGCTTTGCTATAGATTTTGTCTTTCGGCAGCTTCGTAGACTTTGTTTCATTCGATCAAGAACGGTTCATTCATCCACATATTACGTACGATGATGAAAGTGTCCGTCATAAAATACGGACGGATAAGTATAACGCGCGACAGAAATATATTTTTCCCACTAACATGACGTTACAAAAAAAAAAAAAAAAAAAAGAAAAAAACTCATTTGTCTCTCACATATTTCTTGCACGGCGATTTAGGACAGAATTTATTTTTACGAAGTGGAATAAAAACGAGATTAAATATCTTAAAGTGCATATTCATTAATAAAATAAACCCCCGTAGTATAGTGTAGGCATAAAACGCGGGAACAACTAACGAGTTATGTCCAAACTTGCTTCGAACGAGCCACCCAGCGAGAGTCATAAAGCCCCAACCCACCGCTTTCCTTCATTTTGGCTTTTCTTCCAAGCTAGCCATTTCACACAAAACCGGGCAATAAGGGGAAAAAAAAAATGACACGCAACTTGTTTTATGCGTTTTATGTCTCTTATAATTTATCCAGAGCTTTGGTTGTATTAGTTCATGGTGTTATGTCAATTTTTCAGTTATATGAAATTCCCTTGGTAAGTTTGGAACGATCCACAAGCGCTTCATACTTGCGCCTCAGTGCGGTAGATGCAAGTGCACGCTTGCATGCCCAACAAGACACCAGCAAAAAAGCGCTCCCGAACCGCTCCAAACTCACCAAGGGAATTCCCAGTTAGTTGCTCCAGCTTGATGCGTAGGCGCCACTAAGCAAACATTTCGCCAAATGGCTGGTGTTTGACGTTTTTGTATATCAAGCATTTTGAAGATAACAAGTTTTGTTAGCTGCAAATGGAGAACGAAAATAGGGTGGGGATGCGGAAGTCAAAACGGTTATGTTCCAGATCTTACTCGATCCCTGTTACTCCCGCTGGTCATATCACGTGACAACGCAGATAAAGCGACGCTGGACATGAGTAGGTTCTCGAACGCAAGGAAACCTTCACTTTGGAGCACGCGGTGCTCTGGAGTGAGACGGGGTAAATTTTGTAACACGGCCAACGCACCCCCCTTACTTGGGTGTAAGGGATGGCGGCCACGAAGCGCAGGAGCCCGGCATCCGTGTAGAAGTGGATCTTGTTGCGACAGTCTCCCTCGCTGGACTCTGAGGTGACTCCGGCCACGGCAAGCATCTCCCCGCTGTTGGACCACTCCACTTTGATATCTGCGCCCAAAGCAGAAGACCCAACTGTGAACCGAGAGTTTTGGAAATACAGGGTGTTAGGGAGAAAAGAGAACAGCGTTTTTCTCACCACAAAAAAAGAAACTAGACGTTGCTCAACGCTCACCTTTCGAACAAAATGTTGAGTTAGCGGACGGAACCTGATGCAAAAGTTTCTGAACTTACCGTTATCTAAAAAAAAAAAAAAAAAGCTATAAGCAAGTTTTAAAAAGCTTTCGACGAGGAAATGGTGACCAAGGAAGCCTGCGACTCCGGCTACGGCGAGCATATCCCCGCTGTTGGACCACTCCGCTTTGATATGTGTGCCGCGGCATAAGACCGAGCCATGGACCGATATCTTTGGAAATAATGAACTAGACTAGGCATTGCCAAAGGCCCAGTCTCCGTTCAAAATGTAGCGCTAGCGAATTGAAGCGAACGCCAAAGTTTGGGAACTTACCTTTATCAAATTCAAAAGTTATAAGCCACTTGCAAAAATGTTCAATGAGAAAATTGTAACTGGCGAAGCCTAGCTCGCAAATACATGCCGACGAATTTCGTCTGCTACGGAAAACGCACCGCATGTTCCCATTGAAAAATTTCCGACAATCGCTTTACACCTTTTGAATCGGATAACGTAGATAACGGTAAGTTTTGAAACTTTGGCCCCTAGTCCCAACCGCTATAGCGCTGCATTTGGGAAGAGAGCTAGAGGTCGGCGATGTACATAAAGTTCATTTTTGCGGCGACAAAGAAAAAGGTTCTCTTTCCTTCCAAGCACCCGGTACAACGAGCGCTCCAGTGGAAACTTTATACCAGCGGAGGCGGCTCACTAAAACGACACACCGCAAGATACAGGGATCTCCAATCTTCCATTCCATTCGTGCACGTCGTACAGGCAACAGGAGCCTGGGAAAATTGTCAACGCAAGTCAAATTAAAAAAACACAAAAACTAAAAAAAACAAAAAAACAACAACAGGCCTGTGTGTTTGACAGAAAGAAAGAGAGCATCGCAAAAGAATAAAAAAGACACACAAAGAAAGCAAGTGGGAAAAAATAAATAAAAATGAAGTTGATGTTTGATAGGCTATACGGGTAGCAACTGAAAAAGAGGAGGAAGTGAGAGCAAGCGGGTACGTAAAAACCCCGAGCTTAGGTTTGAATGATTAGCGGGTGGACCCAAAGCTAGCTGCCTTTGTCTCCAGTCACTGTTCGAACGCTGGACGCCGAACGATGACGTTCAGCGTCTGAACGCTTTCGAACACTGAGTAGAGACAAGGGCAGCCAGCTTTGGGTCCATCCGCTAACCATTCCAAACGGAGTTCGGCGCTCCTACGCCCCCGCACGCTCCGATCTCCTCCTCTCCCTCAGTCCGGTCAAAACAAAAAACGGCCGTTTTATTTATTTTTTTTTTTTTTTTTAAGAAAGACAATGTTTCTTTTTATAAAAGATTAATTGTTTTACAGCTTATTTTTACTTTCGATGCTCTAATATCTTTTGCACTCCTTAAGAAAAGATAAGAGAGGCGTATAAATGAACCATTCGGCATCGATTAATTAGCGCGCGGTTTGAACCTAGCTTAAAAAGAAGGTAAAAATATTCTTCAGAAAAAAAAAAAAAAAGAAGAGTTGCACCTAGATTTTAGAGTATTTTTATCCGATGAATCTGAATATCACGTTCGTTTTCTCCGAAGATGTAACTAAATGCGAGAAAACACGAAAAAAAAACAAAAAAAAAAAAACGATGAGCCGTTACGTCATAAAATATTCTTTCGGCCTCCAAGCCCGTGTCGCTCGTGTGGGCAGCGCGTACAATTGCAAGTCACGACGTTTTTTTCTCACTTTTGTTTAAAAATGGCGAGAGTGCGCGTGCGTAGGTTCAGATAGGCGCTGAAGATCCGCGAGAGCGGAGATTTCGAAAACTCCTTTTATGGCGTCACGGCCCGGCAAGGAGGGGCTTCGGCGGAACTTTGAAGAATATCTTCTGCAGCTTCGGTGCACCAAATTGAAAAATAATCTCGCTATTCGTGATTCTGAAGGCCAAATGAACACGATTTAACTGTTTTTCTTCCAATACAGAACCACCTCAGTTTCCCTTTACGCATTTAAACGCTTGGATGTCTGAAGGTCATACCTAAGCTATACTCGGCGACAACTTTTCTTGGCAATGCAGTGGAAGGTACGTCCCGCGTCCCCTCTCCCATTTTGAGTGTACGCAGGCTCTTCTCCTCCCCCATTTCCGAGGAGAGGAGGGAAGCCTGCGCACACTCAAAATGGGAGAGGGGACGCGGGACGTACCTTCCACTGCATTGCCAAGAAAAGTTGTCGCCGAGTATAGAAAACGTACCAAAGACGCTAATAAATTGCTCGACGCTCTTCTAAAAAAAACGTGGTCTTCGACAATAATTTATTACCAGAAAGCGTTACTTACATTACAATGTAATGAATTGTCGTCGAATAGTCTAAAAGAAACAGAAGCAATTCTGTATTTGAGAGACAGTGAAAAAAAACAAAAACACTTGAATCGTCTTCATCTGGCCTCCAGGATCACGAATATCAAAATTGTATTTTATATTGATATGCCAAGTAGCCACGAGAGCGCACTGAAAATAGTGCTGAAGCTTCGCTCTCTTCCCGCCGCTTTCGGTGCAAGGAGGGAATCGTGACGTTATGCGGAGATCTCAACCATCCTGCGCCTTCTGCAAGCCTCGCCCGAGCAGTCAAGAGTACCGCACACGTTCCCTCACAAACTGCACGCGCAAGGCAGTTGAAACTGGGTTGAAACTTCTGGGTAGGCCGTCACACCCGGCGGTTGGTTTTTCGGTTTTTCTCGCGTTCAGTGATGCATTCGGGTAAAATATTTGCGGTATTAAAATTCATGTGACAAAAGCACGCAAGAATTCACCTATATCTCGTTTTTTACAGAAACCTGTTCAGCTTCCTCCTAACATAAATGCGAGAGATGACTTTCGTTTGAACTTTATATAAAAACTGCAACGAAAAAATTCACCCGTCTTCACTAGTCTACAAAAAGCCAACCAACCAACCAACCAACGAAACCAAAACAAAAAAAAATCAACAACAACACGACGAGAATGAAACATGCATGCCTCGGAAAACAAAAACAGACTATTTGTCTTGAAAGAACACTCGGTTTTCTTGATGGGAAAAAATGTCAGCGTAGGAATAAGATGAAATGGAACCGTACGCGTGGAAGACAGCATGTCAAATCTGTCACGACTGAAGCATATTTCGGTACAAACGGCAGAGACGTTGGCGACACGCATCGATTATATGCCAAGGCTGTTCTAGCAGAAAGAGAGAGAGAGAGAGAGGGAGAAAGAAATGCAAGAGCAACAACAACGGCAACGGAACACCCGCAGTTCAATGCTGGGCCGCGCGGTGTGGCTGCACTCATTGCGAGTGATCTTTTAACGCGGAATTAAAGTGGTGAACTTCTCAAGTTTGCGTGAGTTTCACGTATAAAGAAAGTTAGTAACGCTAACGTATAAAAAGCAAACAAATGCGGCAAACACACACACACAGACACACAAAAACGTCAAAGAGCAACGCGAAAAAAAGGAAGTTTAATATATCTCATCAGAAAACAAAAAACAAAAAACAACAAAAAAAACGTCCCACGCGGTGTGTGTACTATGGCAGTCTGGATTCACCCTTCTAAGCCTTCGTGACCAGCTCATCATCTACTGTAGCCTTATGAACAACGTTCATGAGGCAAACCTCTCTCCGCATCTGTCATTCCTCCTCCTCCCACTTTTCTGGTCCCAATTCTGCCTGCCGGAAAGCGGCGTGACCAAGCCGCCATCCATCTCCTCTAATAAAGATTTTAAGAAGAAAAAAAAGTATAAATCACCTACCATCAGAAAAACAACAACAACGTATAAATCTCCTGCGATCAAATATAATTTGGGGTCAGTGAGAATACCGATCGAACATGACGTATCACACGGGCAATATAATAACGCAGTTTGCACTCGTCACACCAACTTCGTGTCTTGTAGAGCCCACCCCAGAGACCGCAATACGCGTTGAAACTGTGTGACGCATTGCGCCGCTTCAACAGTCACAAAAATGTCGCGTGGCAATCGATCTATTTAAAAAATTGGGTTGTGTGTGTGTTTATACAGCCTAGAACTTGGTCTGCCTCACAGGGGCGACGAGTCGCCCAGCTGTAGATGAGAAATTTAGCCAGTGCGGTACAGCCGCTAGCCTGGGGTCTTTAACGTGCGTCACGCAGTAGTGATACACGACCGCACGCCGGTACGATGCTCATCCAGTTCGAAACGGGCAGGGGCGGGGCTCGAACCCAGGATCCCTGGGTTCTGCAGCGCGAGCTTTCGCTCCACGTGCTCCGAGCTGGTGTGCGCTAGACCACTCGGCCACCGATCCCCCCTCGATCTATTTAATGGCCGAGGTATCAGATTCAGCTCCATCTCATCCTCCACAAGGGAGTTAGCTAAGTGACTCTCTTTCTCCTGTTTTCTTGACCCCACTGCGCAAGAGACTTTTTGCGGGATCTTTCGAAAGACTTCTGGTAAATAGACCCCACTTTTAGGCAATGGGAGAGCCTTGACTACAATTATATAAAGAGCCTGACTATTAGGATGAGGACTATAAAGACATTCGCGCTTTTTTGTGTATGTCGCGTCGTCCTTCTTGTCTCAGTGTATGTATTTCTAGTCCTTCGCAGCGCACTCTATTCAAAGCACGAGCAACTTACTAGCTCAATCCCGAGCGCCGTTAAACTATTATAACGCTATGACTCGGCAGTGTTACCGCGAGGGAAAATGATGACGTAAACTATCGGCCAGTCGCGCTTGTTCAACACCACCGAGATGACAAGGCCTCATAGTGTTTAAGCTTTTACGTCACCCACGCGAGGCACACATTAGAAACGAGTGCTACGTCAGTGTAACGGCTGGACCTCGAGCTGAATCGGTGAAAACACGAGTCCTAGGCGAACGTTTGCGCGACACTCATGT